GTTATTAGAGTTTTATATAATTATAAAGTTAGTTATACTTATCTTAATAATATCTTAGTAGGTAGAGTTATAGTAGCTAAGAAGTTATAAAATTTAATCTCTAATAGTCTACTAGTAGAAGCTAGACTATTAGTAAATTTCTTTAAGAAATAAGGTAATATTATCTCTATTAAATATAAGAAGAATATTAGTAAAAAGTACCTTCTTATTTATATATATAGATATTATATATAGCCTACTCCCTTTATAAAGTCTATAATAAAGAATAAGAGGTTATTATTACTTATAACTAATAGTTTATTAGGTATAAGTTATCTAAAAGTATCTAAGGCTAACCTACCTATAGTATTTTTTAGCACCTAGAGAGGTAGCTATAATACTACCTTTTATTAAACTTACTAGACTATAGTTCTGATTAGTATTAGATATAGTTTAAAGCTTACTTTTAATAATTAATATAATAAGTAAGATTAAGGCTTATATTATAATTATAATAGTTAACTAGGTATTCTAGAACTACTTAAGATATACTATTTAATTTTAATCTCTTTAAAAGATTATTCTAATAGCTAATTAGATATACTATAAGGCTATTATTATATAAATTAGATTCTTCTTAGCTACTATTATTAAGAAGCTATTAGAGTTACTATTAGCTTACTAATATCTTCTTTGCTAGGAAGTAATCTTATACCTATATATTTACTACATTTTTAAGCTAGAATAAGTACCTTCTTTTCTTACTAACTAGCTCTTTATACTATATTATTACTACTTTTTAGTTATATATAATAGAAGAGAGAAAAGAAAAAAGAAACTTATAAATAGTAGTAGCTAGATAGGCCTAATTATACTTTAGGTTCTTAATTATAATAGTAGCACCTTTTAGCTTCTAATCTAAAAGATACTAGTTTAAGACTTACTACTAGAGATACTAATTTATAGTAGTAGAAATATATATATAGTTAAAGTATAGTATAATTATCTATCTTTCTAATAGTCTATTAGAATCTATCTTTAAGCTATAGCTCTATATTATGTGCCTACTCCTTATATCTTATTCTAATAAAGTGCTAGGCCTTCTATTAGGTAAATAATACTCTACTATAGTATATATAGTAAGTTACTAAAACTCTATAGTATAGTTAGTAGCTAACTTAGTTTATTTAATATATTAAATCTTATATCTTATGCTAAAGACTTTATTAAATATACTAAATATAGGTTTAATCTATTTCTTAAAAGTATTAAAGTCTTTTATCTAGATATCTACTTTATCTAAAGTATTACCTAAGGTATATTATAATATAAAACGCTTAATCTACTTAAGTACTATACTATATATATTACTACTAGTAAGTATAGCTCTTTTTTTCTCTTTAATATACTTACTCTAGAATATAAAGAATAAGTCTTATTATATAAGCTAATTATTAAGCTTACTATATTTACTATAGTAGAGGTTAGGTTTATTAACTATTATATTACCTATATAAGTAGTACTATTATTAGTTATATCTATATTATTTAATAAGCTAGAGGTAGCTTAATTTTCTAAGGTAGTAGATATCTTAAAAGTATTTAAAATTCTAAGGCTATACTTTAAGTAAAGCTTATAAGTACTATTTAATTAGTTTTTAAAGATAAATACTATTTAAGAAACTAAAGGGGTCTTATACTAAGAAGTATAGATATAATCTTTCTATCTTTAGAGTAAGAAGTAATAATAAGTAGTATAAAGTAGACTATCTAGCTTAAAAGTTAAGTTAAGATATAATATTATAGATAAATACTTAGGTTAAATATAAACCTTTAGAGTTATATTTCTACTTGCTATATACTATAAAGAATATAATAGCTTACTAAGCTTAATATAAGCTTTATAAGCTAAGCTTACTAAGCTTAGTATAAGCTATATAAGCTCTATATAAGACCTACTGTTATAAACCTAAGGAAGAGGCACAGCAGAAGATAAGAGATAGAAGGATTAATAATACTTAGGGATAACCTAAAGGTCTTTAAAGAAGGTTAGCAATTAGGACTAATAACAACATAACCCCTTATGTTCTAAAGCCTTAGCAGAACGCTACTATAGAACATGTTACGTGTTGTTCTAAGAATCCTATAATATTCTAAGATATCCTAACACTAGCATATTATAGAATACTAGAATAACTATAGAATATCTTTAGTATATAGCAAGTAGGAATATAACCCTTATAGTTTATGTTTAACCTAAGTATTAATCTATAATATTAGATCTTAACCTAACCTTTAAGCTAGACAGTCTACTCTATACTACTTATTATTACGTCTTACCCTTAAGATAGATAGATAGTATCTATACTCCTTAGTGCAAGACCCCTTTAGTTTCCCTAATAGTTTTTATCCCTAAGAACTAATTAAATAGTGCTTATAAGCTTTGCTTAAAGTATAACCTTAATACCTACTTAGGCTTAACTACTAAGAAGTTAGCTTATTATATAACTTATAATAAAACTATGCTATATAAGAGAGCTTATATAATATTATACTAAGTTTATTAGTACTTATTAAGTATTAAGAAGTAGGTATATAATATAGAGCTAACGTGAGTGCATAGCGAGTGACGCAGTCAAGCGAGTGACGCACCCCAACAAACCATTGGGCCTTCCTACCTTCAAACCTCAATGGACCAACCACCTGACCTGGAATCGCTCCTAAAAGAAGACAGAATCAAGCTTGCACTTCAAGCAATTAAGAAACCTCAAGAGCTAAGCGTGCGACGCGCTGCTACAGTGTACAGGGTCTCTGAGGCAACCCTCCGCCGCCGACGCGCTGGGACGCAGTCAACACGCGATACCCACCCTAAATCAGCGAATCTTCAGAGGACAGAGCAGAGGACACTTGTGCAGTATATTAGGAAGCTGGATTCCCAAGGATTTGCCCCAACGCTCTATTGTGTTGAAGATATGGCTAATCAACTGCGCGCTGCACGCGGCGCAAAGCCTGTTGGCCCACGATGGGCTTCAAACTTCGTCAAACGCGAACCTGGACTAAAATCGCATATGACTCGACAGAGAGATCGCCAGAGAGTCTTGTGCAGCGATCCAGGGGTCATTGGGCCCTGGTTTGACCTGGTTCAGAATGTTAAGGCCAAGTACAGCATCCTGGATGAAGATACCTACAACTTTGATGAGACTGGCTTTACTATAGGCATTGGAAACTGCGTCAAAGTAGTCACTGCATCAGAGAGACGTACTGAGCCCATTGGGTTGCAACAGGGAGACCGTGAGTGGGTAACTTTCATTGCTGCGATCAACGCGATAGGCTGGGCAATCGCGCCCTACCTTATCTTCAAAGCAAAGAACCATGACGCGTCCTGGTACCCTGATTTAAGGCCCCAATGGCGCATTGGGGTCAGCGACAACGGCTGGACTACAAACGATATTGGTGTAGCCTGGTTAAGGCACTTCATTGAGCAGATTAAGGGCCGGAGGGTGGGTAGCCATGTGCTGCTGATAATTGACGGCCACGAAAGCCACAAGTCGCTTGCATTCCAGGATCTTTGCAAGGAGAACAAGATAATTACTCTGTGTATGCCTCCACACTCGTCGCACATCCTGCAGCCGCTTGATGTGGGCTGTTTTGCCCCCTTAAAGCGGGAGTATAGTAAAGAGATCAGAGTCTTGGCAACAGACCACATTGGCCGAATTGACAAGAAGGCCTTCATTGCAACGTTTGCAAAGGTTTTTGAGAAGGCGTTCTCAAAGGCAAACATCACATCAAGCTTTAAGGCAACTGGCTTAGTGCCTAATGACCCATTGGTGGTGCTATCAAAGCTTGATGTCAAGCTTCGGGCGCCAACACCACCTCTACCAGGGGGGGCCCAATGGAACCCCAAGACACCCACCAACGCCAACGAGATAGAGTCTCAATCAACGCTGCTTCGCGATCGTATTCAAAAGCACCAAGGATCATCACCAACTCCAATGGTGGAGATTGTTAATCAGCTGCAGAGAGGCACTGCAATGCTACTACATGGGCAGACGTTATTGGCAGCCCGAGTGCTGCAGCTTGAAGCATCGAACAAGGCTGCTTCTGAGCGCAAATCACGTAAAAGAAAGCGGATTCAGAAGGGTGGAGACCTCTCAAAGGAACAGGCAGAGGATTTGATAGCCCAACGCGACGTTGAGGCGCAGGTAGAGGGGGAAACGCGTGAGGGTAGGGCCCGAACAGGTGCAGGCAAGCAGGGCAAAAGGCACTGCAAGCGCTGCGGTGAGACAGGGCACAACTTGCGCACGTGTAAAAAAGATGTAGTAGACGTTAGCGATTAAGGATATATCTTGTTAGCTACATTATAATGTTGTGGTGTTGAGTAATTGCACGTAGAAGGCCCAATGGTTTGTTGGGGTGCGTCACTCGCTTGACTGCGTCACTCGCTATACACTCACGTTATAAAAGAAGTAATCTAATAGTAAAAAAGATAGGTAGCTAAACTAATAAGATAGTAGATACTAGCTAAAAGTAGAGCTAGAGGTAGCTTAATATAAATATAAGTAAGAAAGAAGTAAAGGGAAGGCTTGCTTAAGCAAGCTAAAACTAAATAATAAGCTAGTTCTCCTTTACTAATAACTAAGCTTGTAGATTAAGCTAGGCCACAACCTACTAGGCCTGGGTCGAACCAGCCACAACCTACTAGTCCTAGGCCACAACCTACTAGTCCCTGACATCCGGAGTCCATTTTCAGATAGTAGTGGAAGTGTGCGAGGGACGGAGACTCTCGCACGTCAGCAAACCCTTGTCAGAATTTCGCGATTACACTGAAATTCGGGCAAGATTTCTAAGAGGCATCGCTCCAAACACAGACCCTGCATATAGCATGTGACGAGCTCAATCACGTCTTGTAATGGTCTACAGAATTAAGTTCTACAGAAGTGCGACATGGAAAGTCGAATAGAGGAATTTTGGATATCAACCGCACCGCGCCGAAACCCTGACCTCTGATGCAAACCCTACCCAAGACCTAGATACACCACCCCACAGCAGACCTACAGGAAGTAAACAGACCTGGAGCAACCAAACGCCGACCCAGATGCGAAAGTGCAGTACATGTGCACAGGACTACCGAACGTGGAAGCTGTGAGTCAGAAATCTACTGAGGCGGCGGCCTTCCAATACCCTGCTTTGCCTAGAAAAGAGTTAGATGTGTTTCTGGTCATTTAGCAATAGCCGCAACACGTACCTTCATCATCTCAATTCTTTGCTTCAAGTTCTGCGTCACCTCCGCTGCACGCTTCCAACTCTCTGCACCCGAGGCGGCATGAGAACCACCCATACGGCTGGTGCCATTTTCAGCAGGACTATTGCGACCACCCCGAGACGAGAAAGATGATTTGCCTGACGCATCTGCTCGCAAAGGACTTAGCTTGCCACTCATATGACTGTCTGGGCGGGACAGAGAATCGAAATTCTCTTTACCATCACCACCTGGACTAATGGGGCCGCTTGCAACGCGACTCTCTTTACGGCCGTACGAAGAATGACTGTTGTAGCTGGAGTCACCAAAACGTCCGTTCCCGTCAGAGTAAATTGATTCCGCCAGATCAGCAGGTGGTGGTGAAGTAACACGGACCTGGCGACTCAGCTCCCTCTTCAAACGGTCGATCTCTCTTTGTTGGGTCTGAGTCGTCTGCTCGGCTGCGTCATAGTCTGATCGAGCACGAACAAGCTGAGTCTCCTTGGCTTTTATGGATAGCACGTCACGAGTGTGGTCCTCGATCAATTGGGCATTTTGGTGCTGAAGCTCGTGTACTTGAGAGGTCAGCCTTGAGCGTTCGGCACGTAGATCCTCGTTCTGTCGTAGCAGCCGTTCAGTTTCGGCTCTCAATTCCTCAAGCTCTGCTCGCTCCACTAAGCCAAGACCAGTAGGTGCTGCAGCAGGTGCAGCGACAGGCTCAGCAGCAGGCTTGCCTAACGGACGGCCAACAGGTCCTCGTCCAGCACCAAATTTTGGCTGGGGTGGAGGCGCAATTTCATCATCCTCGGGAGGCGGCGATGCGACTGGCCTCTTTGGGGACGGAGCGGCAAGTCCTGGTTTCTTCAAACCTCCGAGGCGTGGCCCTGCAAGACCAGATTTAAGTTTGGAAACGCCAGGCCGCGATGTAGGTTTCGGAGCAAGCGGTGCTGCAGGCTCTTCTGCGGGAGGCGGCGGTGCCGTCGCTGGCGCTGGAGCAGCCTTCTTGGGGGCTGGCCTTTTGCCGAGTGCTGGCTTTTTGCCGGCGGCAGGTGCCGCCGCAGGCTTCGGTGGAGGAGCAGCAGCCTTTGGTTTGTACTTTGCTTTGACCTCAGCTGCCTCGAAGTATTCTTTGATCTTGGTCTTCCTGATCTCATCAAGTCCATCAAGATGGGCATTCATGATGCGATCCCCCATGATCTTCCACAGTGTCCCAAGAACTTCAGCGCCTGCGGAACGCTGTACCTCTTGCGACTCTGTGAGTAATTTTGTCGAGGCTTCAGCTAATGTCTTCGCTTCGGGTGGTGAGGGGGCTTCGCGAGTGTTCTTCAAACATCGGACCAGGAATCTTGTGGACTCCAACTTGACCTGCGGATTCTTGTGCTTTAGGAATTCCAGTATCTCTTCTAAACAATCTGCAATGCTTGAAGAAGCAAAGGCGGCGTCCAGTGCAGCTCCGAGGGCGTCTGTGACAGTTTGCTTCTTCTCCTTCAGCCTCTCCATCATCGCGTTCATGATATCTTTGCGGTACTTGTTGAAGCTTTTCTTGAGGCCCTTGGCCAGCAGCTCGACACAGTTGGCAGCGGTGATAACTACCGCCACATTGGCGTCCTTCATGGACTTGGCGAAGCCGCGCACGAGGTCATCAAAAGGCCCTTCTGCGATTCTGGGTGTGTCCAAGGCTTTTTGGGTCTCTTCCAGCACTTCCTTGCGGTCCTTCCACTTGGTTGAACCGAGACGATCATTGAAATCTTTTGGGATTTTTGCAAAGACGTCGATGGCCTCGAATTCAGGCTCCAGATCGATAGCACCGTCTTCTTCTTCTTCGCCCTCGTCTTCATCGCCTCCGGGCGCTGCGGCAGCTGCCTCCTTTGCTGCTTGTTGGGAACGGAGCAAGCGTTCTTGTTTGGGCGGTGGTTCATCTTTTACTTTTTCGAACAGCTTGTCTAGGTCTTGTTGCTGAACGGGCTTCAGATCGTTCCAGAACAGAGGTTTCATGGCGTCCTTGAGCCATCGGTAGAACTCTACCGTCAACTCTTGCGCCTTGGCCCGAACATTCTTGTCTGCGTGACCGTAGGCCTTGGGCAGGAGCTTGAGGACAGACTTGGGCTCAATTGTCTTGCAGCCGTAAGCGTGGTATATCTGGGTCAGGGCGTCCAGCGTCGCGGCGATAACCTTGGGCTGCTTGTGCGACAGGATGGGCAGGAGCTCCTCGATGACCGGATCGGGCTTGTCTGTCTCAATGTACAAGAGCAGGGCCTCGAGCGCAGCCTGCTTTGCTGCGGGTCGAGTCGAGGGAAGACCCTTTTCGGCGATGGTGGCAATGGTGATCTGCCGTGTTCTGCAGCGCTCATGTTAGCAAAGAGCCAGACGCGGATTCGTGGTCCCGTTCAGTAGGCCTTCCTTACCGTGTGCAGCCCTGCTGGCCGGAGATTTCGAGGAAGGCGCATAAGGCGGCCAGACCCTCTTGCTGTGCTGCGACGTTGGAGTCGCCGACGACGCCCTTCCATATGCTTGCGTCGTTTACGAATTGGCGCACGATCGGGTCGTTCTCGCCCACAGCGAGCTTGAACTCCTTGGCGGCTGCCTCGTACGCCTCTTTCCGGACCTTCCAGTTCTTGTGGGTGAAGCGGTCGGGCAGCGGGAGCGCGCTGAAGTCCTCTTCCTTGTCGGCCATGGTGCGCGGCGCGGGCGTGCGGACAGCGCGGGGCGTGTGCGTGTGCGGGCAGGAGGCGGTGCTGCCGGACGTCAGTCGTGTGGGCGTACGAGGATGCGCGAGCGGGCGACGCAAACACAGACGGCGCACAGGACGGCGCCGGGGAGCAACTTACGGGCGGCACGTGAGGCGGGGGCGCCGACAGCGGTTCTGTGCGTCGCGGGGCGGTCGAGCAGCGAGGGCGCAGCAGCGAGGGCGTGGGTGTGGGGGCGGGCAGCGTGCAGGGCCGTGGTGACGGCGGGTCGTGTTTTTGTGTTGGCGGGTGCTGTTGCTAGGGGACCATCATCATAAGTTAGATGGCCGCAACGGCCGCGACGGCCGCGAGCAGCCCGCCCGTCGACTGAGCGCTGGGCCCGACACCCCCCCGAAGCCCAACCAGGCCCGCGTGCGCCCAGATTGCGCCGCCTGCAACTGCTCTCCTCGCCGGCCGCTGCCAGTGCGCACTCCACGACGGCCCTGCCCGACGGCCCTGCACGACGGCCCTGCAAGACCCCGCCCGGCTGCCGCTCCAACCCTCACCGCACATCCCCGCCGCGCGCAGAAGAAACCCGCGTCGCCGTCCCGCCCGCGCCCGCCCTGCCCTGCGCCCGTGTATGGTGGTCGCCCGGCCGTCCCCGCCATGAGCGCCATCCTGACCGACCGGCAGGCCGAGGAGCTGTGAGTGCCGCCGTGCCATGCGCCACAGGGCACCCCACTAATGCGAGGCAGGCACAAAGCCATAATCGCATATCTCGGTGTCATCGGGGCGACCAACACGGCCGCCGCCTTTCGCGAGGAGGCCCGCGTGCCCGACGCCTTCGACGATGCCACGCGCCGCAAGTACGAGGGCCTGCTGGAGAAGAAGTGGACCAGCGTCGTGCGCCTCCAGAAGAAGGTCGGTGCTCTGCAGCCCGCGCTGAGCGCTGCGGTTCTAACGCGCGGCAGGTGCTCGAGCTCGAACAGCGCGCCCAGAGTCTCCAGAGCGAACTCGACTCGACCACGCCTACGTCCCTCCTGCGGAAGAACCAGGACCCCACCGCCTGGCTGCCGCGAGCCCCCGCCCGCCACACCCTGCAGTCTCACCGCTCGCCCATCACCTGCGTGGCCTTCCACCCCATCTTCTCCTCGCTCGCCTCGGGGTCCGAGGACACCACAATCAAGATCTGGGACTGGGAGCTGGGCGAGCTCGAGCGGACCGTCAAAGGGCACACCAAAGGCGTACTGGACGTCGATTTCGGCGGGCCCCGGGGCGGCACGCTTCTGGCCTCCTGCTCTAGTGACTTGACCATCAAGCTGTGGGATCCTTCGGACGAGTACAAGAACATACGAACGCTGCCTGGCCACGACCACTCCGTCTCTGCCATCCGCTTCATCCCCAGCGGCGCTGCAGGTTCTCCGTCGTCCGGAAACCTGCTCGTGTCGGCCTCTCGAGACAAGACCTTGCGCGTGTGGGACGTGACCACTGGCTACTGCGTCAAGACAATACGAGGGCATGCCGACTGGGTACGGGATGTAGCCCCCAGCTTCGACGGACGCTGGCTCGTCTCTGCTGGCAACGATCAGACTGCACGGCTGTGGGACGCCAATTCTGGAGAGGCCCGATGCACCTTTTCCGGCCACGAACACGTCATCGAATGCGTCGCAATAGCGCCGCCTGTCGCCTACGCCCACTTGGCCTCTCTAGCTGGCCTGAAGAAAGCACCGCCGCTCAGCAGCTCAGCAGAATACATTGCGACGGGATCACGCGATAAGACCATCAAGATCTGGGACGGTCGGGGGACCCTCATCAAGACCCTGGCTGGCCACGACAACTGGGTGCGTTCACTCGTCTTTCACCCAGGCGGCAAGTATCTGCTATCAGCTAGCGACGACAAGACAATAAGATGCTGGGATCTGGCACAGGAAGGAAAGTGCGTAAAGACCGTCACGGACGCGCATAGCCATTTCGTCAGCTGTATGCGCTGGGCGCCAAACGTCGTAAAGGACGTCCCTGCCAATGGCGACAGTTCAAACGGTACAGGATCAAGTGCTGCAAGCAAGAAAAAGGAGGAAGACGCTGCCAAAGCAGGAATCAGATGTGTTATTGCAACAGGGTCTGTGGACCTCAACGTTCGCATCTTTGCATCTTGAAAAGCAAGGAAAAGTAATAGATCAACTTGAACACAATGGCCGAGACACGCAGAAGATGAAAGCCTTCAAGGGTGTTTCACATCGGAGGGACGCAAGAATCCAGGCTGCTTGGCTTGTCTTTGCGAGGTGCGCGTGCGAGGGCATGCTACTGACGTGGACACGGGCAGTCACCGCACGCTCATGATAACTGCACCGGCATTGCGCCCTTGGCCTCAGATATCAAAGGCTGGTACTATGGGCACGTGACTAGTAAGACGTTGAATCCGTATAGAACGGATGCCGAATGTAAACAGCGAGACGGTGAATACAAGCGCAATATTAACCGTTGAGGTATAACACATCCTTCATTCCTTTTCTTTGGGCATAGACGGCCTAGTTGAGGTTCAGCTGTGGTCAGTGCACGTGCCGTTCGGAATCATCGTGCGCCGCTCCGGGCGGACCCACCCAGCACCTACAGCTTTTCTTGAGCTCCAAGTTCTCTTCCGCACAACAACACGACGCGCCACGACCTCACAACGACGCTGGCAGGCGCTGGGTCTTGTGCATGTCACGCGCTTTGGAGTCTACCCGCGCGTCACCATTTCATGGAGGTAAGCACAGCCTTTAATCAAACCCAGTCTACAGGATGATACACAAAGCCAAATTCAAACTAGAGTCTTTGACCTTCCGGGGAATGAAACTCACACTTTTGCACGTCAGTCTGAATGCGACTACGCCTTTGAACTCATCATACAACTTCTGTATCAAACCAGTCGCTGACAGTCTCCAGGTCCCATCGTAATCATACTGCGTCTTACTTCACGTAATGTTACGCATTCAATGTCCTCCGTCTGCAGCCAATGATGTACGTATAGCCCGCCGTATCTTCCCCATATCCAATGATGATCAGTTTGTGCTTTGCACGCTGGAAATTACCGGCTCAGGTTTCGACCGATGCAGATAGAAAATGGCTGTTTCTGATATCGATATCTCTCGCGCGCTCATGCAGTACTTGCAGTTGCATCATGCTAATTACTGGTTGACAGATTATTCGATGTAGTCGGTATGGCAATCCCCCCTCGCAACGGATCCTGCACCTCTATATGATGCATCTGCACTGGGCACCGAAAATTCTTGAAGGATACGCTCTACTGTGGCAGGCCTAGAAAACCTCGCCGACTGATCTCGTCCTGCCGTCTCCGCTGCGACCTTTTTCGGCATCACATAAACTGACCCTCGTCACAACAGATCTGGTACGCATCTGCGAGCGACTCGAGGGCTGATCCCCACATTGTAAGTGTGTACTTCCCTGCCTACTCTGGAGATGATGCGACTTATAGATGACGAGTCTGATGGGCTTGCCCGGTGACGACTCAATCTTAAATATCCATTCATGCCTTTCTGATCCAACCTTCACACATGCAACCTGCTTGATCTATGCTCGCAGATTTGGCTAACCTTTCTTCAGGGATCGTCGGTGCCAGTGTTCCTCTGGTACGCTAAACCACACACTGCCTCCACTACTTTCATGATGATACGACGCAAACACAAGACAAGCATATGTCCAAGCTCCGGCGAAGACGAGACTGTCATGTCTGACTCGTTGTTACATGGGCTCTTCTTCGAATGCTATCTCAGAGGCGCCGGCTAACCAGCCGCGCAGACAGATTCATGGAGCATGGTAATTGCTGTCAGGTACGTTCCTCATTATCCTCTTCCATTTTCTATTGCAAGATGAACATTTATTTTATCACGACGGTCTACCGAGCTACGGCAATGGTGATAACTGCCTGTGACAAGGCAAGTGTCTGAACAAGAAGATTCGCTGGTTTTTGTTTCTGAAATTGATTCCAAACAGTGCTAATCGCCTAAATAGCTTTTCATCACCGAAGTGCTGATACTTCGCTGGGCCGTCCCGCCAAGATTTGATTTCGTGTCTCTCGATGTAAGGCTAGCTCTTCACGATCTACAAGAAGTCATATGCGGTTTAGACACAGTATCGCTGCCATTCAGACCATTCCACACCCATGATACCTGTGCATCTTCGTGCCCTCGGTATAGAACTTGGTGATGATGAGTGAGAAGACCTACTGTGCTTCAGAAACACATGCTCAGTATAATCCGATCGTTATGTCTCCACGGATTCGAGCTGTAAGATGGATTTCTGCCTCTAGATCTAACTTGATACCAATGAGCAATGCCGCATCCTTGGGCTTGCCGTTGTCGTCAACAGGGCCCTTGATGATGTTGCCCGCTGGGCGATTGAGGTTGGCGGAAGAAGGAACGGGCCCAATGTTGCTCGAGATCTTGCGGCCACCGGAGGCTTGGCCTTCGCTGCCAGTGTCAGACATGTAGCCAGACGGACGAGTAGTTTCGCTAGTTTGCATTTAGTCCAAGCCATTGCTTGAAATTGTCACGTCAACGTACAAGGTAGACATTTTTGCTTTTGGCTCAAAATGGTCGGGTCGTCGTTTAGGTATTAGAGCTCCTGTTCTCACGGGCACCGGGCTGTCTTCTTGGATATGCTGATGTGGTGAGTAACAAAAAATCAAGGGAGATGTTGAAGGTCTTGACCACCGTCTTGTTCACCTTAAATATCTAACAAACCTTGGTTGTTTCTACAGGATTTCCAAACGCAATCGGGCTGGTCGAGGTTATTCCCCCGTTGCTTGAAACCGTTACTGTGCCATACTTGGGTCGCAAGATTTATGATCATTCGACAGTCGTAAAACCTTCAATTGAGAAACGGTAGTCGCCTAGTACCTACTCCTCGCCGAGAAAGCGATTATGGTTTACAACAGATGCGGAAAGTGGCTTGTGCTTCCGAGTCGTTGGCCGTTGGAAAGTGAAACTGGAGGGTCGTCTGGGTCGCAACAATCGTCCAGGATCCTTCTGGGGCCCTCCTAGACATCACGCCATCTAATAACACCGGTTCCGCGAAGACGGTCTCTCACGTCGCTAGAACGGCTGACTATGGGTGTGAGCGAGATATTTTATCTACTTTGCAACAGCGAATTAGGGACAATGCACAAAACTCTAAAGAATACTTGTGTACCTATAATGTAGGTAACACGTAGCTAGATTTTAGTATAAGATATTATAATAGCTACAGGGTTGGTTTGTATTGAAGTTGATCAGTTAAGCTCGCTTATCACCAGTTTTTCTGAAACTCGAGAGAAGGTTCATCTAACCTCTCATTTGAAAGAATGATTTGTGTGGAGTGTGAGCTTCTGACTCGTGCTTAGTATGTCAGACTGGCATAAATCTCTTGGTCGATCAAACTGTTACCCCCATTTCAACAAGTTGACCATTTTGGATCGTATGATTTTCCAATCACGACACGACCGCCTGCTTCACTGCATGTGTCAGCAACAATGCTCCCAGAAAGCATATGATGGAGGCATGTAAACACTTTAACACCTGTTCTACTGCAAAGCTCCATAATGGTGCTTGGGATCCTAATTGCAGTGGTCACTGCTCCTGGTCTACTCGGCAGCCAAGAGGCCATTCGTCAAGGCCAATCAAAAGATAAAAGGGAGGAACATCGTGCACGTCGGTGCAACCTTATCGCTACCTGCGTAAAGTCGTCAGCACGAAGTCGGGAGATTGACGGACGGCCAGTCGTGCTTCGCGATGGGAAGCTCTGGATTGACACAACCACTGATGACGGTGAGCCATTCGGCCACACGTATGCTGGATATTATCTGCCCTACCCCGATTCGAGTCACGAAGGTCTTGTCACAACTATCACAGATGTTGCACCAATCATGAATTGGGTGTATATTGACAGAGAAACGCATGAGGCTAGATATGGCGTGCGAGCTGATGCGCAACCCAATCTTACTGGTCCTTTCAATTGTACAAGACAAGATCGCCGTCTAACCTTCGAAGGCTGGGAAGGGTGGTGCGCTGTGGAGGAATTTGAGGGACACTGGTCTCTGTACTTCGATGTCGATGACAACGGTTTGAAGTCAAAAGTTGCATCGGGTACAAGAGTGTTAGAAATCGAATTGAGTAGAAAGGAAAAAAGATTTCAGAAACAAGAGGAAGTGCGGCAACAAGATCAGAAAATTGCAAGGGCAGTGGATGCTCAGAAAGATGCGCCTGTTGATCGTCCTTTGCAGCAAGATGATGGGTTCAAAAGACCTGGCGTGTTCGGTGAACCGTTGCCGGGACCTATATCAGTATACGCAGAAGACTTAGTGCCAGAAACGCCATTGCCGGCCCGCTCAAATCCACGCAAGTCTACAATCCCGCCAATATCCCAAATATCCAGCAAACGGGCGGCGGATATATTGGACGACTCCCTGGCTATAGAAAAGCCAGCAGTCTTAAATACCCAACCAGAGAACAACTCTACATCTCCACCACGAGTATCGCCTCAGACTATGCTACTGCGAGAAATACAGTTCACTCCGAAGATCAATCGAAGCAGTGGCAGCAAAGCAATGACGCAAGCACAACTGTTCGACGCTATGGCAGCTGCTCAAATGCGAGAGGCAACTGTTATTGCAAGAACAAACTCAGGAGCCAAGCGGTCGTCTCTGGCCAGTGGCAACGTGCAGTCTGCTTCGGCACATTCTGGAGAACAAGAGAGCCCAAACCAAGACATCTCGTCACAGTCAGGTTTATCGCAAAGGCCATCATATCGATCAAAAACAACACATCCATTGCCGATTGCAAGTGCACCGCAATCAAGAAGTATACAGACTCCCGACATAACGGTTCAGCTGCCCAAATTATCACCGTATTCAGAGCGAACGGATACTATTGACCCAGGGATATTTGAAGCATTGAGCATGGGTAGGAGTGAGCAGAGAAGTCGGATCAGCCCTTCTTATCAACGAAAGCGAAACTCCAAGACATTCACAGCACGACGACCTGGGAAGCGCTTATCCCCAATCACCCTCACCAGGAAATCGCTCATAGATACGATGTCCAGCGACGCAGGGAGGCTGACGTCTTCTCTGTCACGTGCCGACAGGTCCTCAAAAATGCGATTTGGGAGGGAAAAGATTGTCAATAGAATTCAAAAAGGAAGAAAGACAACCTCAACTCTTCTGAGAGATCTCGACGATTTAGTGCGTCAGGAACAAATATTCATCACGTCAATGAGCAACCAGAAGAGTTCCACGAGTAAGAAGGGCCTGGTGGTGTGAGACAGGCGGCACGACTTATAGCAGTACAGGTGTGGGCCACAGATGTGTGTGGCGAAATGTCAATAGACAGATATAGTAGCTCTTCATAGATCACTCTATATGTGAGTCTTGTCATTTCAAATATCGGTGAAACAGTGACACTGCAGCTGGCCATGGGACGTTGCTCGTGGTGATCGTGTAATCGATCGCCAAGTAAGACGACCATGAACCTTTACAGTCACTGTCCGTTCTTAGCGACAAACCAAACCTCTTGAGCCCAACACCTTACAGTATGACAGGGGTAAGTAGTCAATGTGTCACAAGACTTCGCAGCAGCTATCTGTTAACAAAACATGACCTGTAGATGTATACAAGATATTTCAGCTTAAATGTTAGCACTTTATTGTTTAGTCTAGTGTGCTTCACTATTACTTGCAGAGAGATGCTGCTAGAAGAAGAATATTAAAGGATCTACATTGATTACTTACCCCTGCTATACTGTACTTTCCTGAGGTGTCTTAGACTGGATCGTTTGCGTACTGCAAGCACATGCCAACATCGAGCTGAAACTCGACCCACCAGCTCCTGCAAGCCCCACTGTCAGTGCTTCAGCTTTGCGCGGTTGCAACATGTCGCAAAAACAATATGTCATCCGACTGACTTCACACCGATTCAGATCATGTTTGACAGTGGGGAAGGGTACCAATGAGCCTATATCTGGCAAAATGTAGCTGGATTGGCCATGGGTCGAACTTCTGATGGCTATTCTCACACTCTGATTCACGTATCTGCCACTTGCATTGCTTTTCGCAGAAACCCTTGATAATAATCAGGCTTCGAAGTGCAGGTTTCGCTCATAGCACATTCGCCGCACGATGGACGCGTCCACCCGACTGTACGCGAAACTAGGCGAGATAGCAGAGAATCCCGATGCCTCAGAGAGCTTGGATGATTTAATCGTTTGCGCTTTTGGAGCCTTTGAAAGATATTATTTGTGTTGGAAGACAAAGGATGGCAATTTTCGGCAAGGTCAGTGCAGCACTGTTGAGAACGCATCACCCGCTAACGTAACCCATCAAAGACGGCTACGACCTGCCACTTGCATTGAACGAATGGCTCAATCCAACTGACGGTACGACGCGAGACTGGGCTTCACTCCAAGTTGTCTTCGGCCGTGGCGAAGAGTACTTTGCATCAGACAAAAACGGAAAGCTCGAATTCAAAGAGCCAGAAGTCAGAAAATCGGTTAGGGAGGAAGAGAGAGAAAGAATCGACAGACAAGCTTTGCGAAGATCGAGGACTGTCTCTTTCTTGCGACCACTCTCCCAGGCTAGCAACCGGTCTGACGTTCCTGTATCTGATGCGCCCCTCTTGAATAAGCGCACATCATCTATCTCATCGCGACGCGTATCACGATCACCAAGTCTCTCATATTCAACAACAAGCTCAGAAACGTCACTAGTATACCCCGACGAACCGAAACATCTAGATCTGACCTCCATGGCGCCACTCTCTTCCACGATCAGTAGCACTGCAACGCCCAAAGGCGCAGTCATGGCGCCCTCGACCAATTTCGTGCATCTTGAGAGCTTGTGGACGGTCCCATCAACGCCGACAACAAGCATCACTCTTACGACTCGAGATCTTGCACCAATCAGCTCCCAGCTTGAGCCTTCAACCCAAGACTTGAATCAATCCGTGATAACGACCATACCTGAAGAACGGATTGGATCAAGTTCGGTGTACAAAAGCACTTCTGAGACTTGCAATTGCGACTGTCATATACCACCCCTCTCTTATGTCAAGCGATCAACCTACGCTAACGCCAGCGTGCAAACTGATCCGATATCCCCTCTATCAAGGACCTCCTTGCGAGTCGATACGTTTAGTACTACTAGTTGGAGGAAGAACAACCATGCCGTGTCACAAGATACACTGACACCTGTGTTTGATGTTGACGGCCTTTGTCTGGCGCCCTTTTCCATAGGCCGGATGTCGAATTATTTCAGTAAACCCGGCTATCAGCTGGGTGACAGTCTATCTGGGAGCTACTGTTACCTCGAGCAACCAGTGTATCAATACCAGGAGGAGTTTGGAGAAGAGGCTTTGCGGCAAAGTGAGTCGAGAACTGCAGCTTGGGCTGTGGGGGGAACCACCCCCACTTGAGTCCGGTGTGTCAACTTAACCTGTGTTACTAGCACTCATACCCCAACATGTTTAATATATCCCATATCAGATACGAAGAACGTCTTCACTGTTGAGCGAAGGCCGATGCGATTTGCAAATCCCTCGCATTGAGCTTTGGTGTGCTGGGAAGAATGCACTGAAGACAGAAGACTACAACAATGATTGTATACGAGACACATGAGTAGGTCGGCATCGTGGTTACGCAAGGAAGACTTAGTGAATGTGAGTTCTTCCAAACTCGTTCAAGCATTCGTCGACCGCTTTGACGAGTGGCGATCCGACCTCCACGTCCACACAAAAACAAGACTACCTCCCCAGCGCCTCCGCGAGGGCAAAATGCATCGGCCGAATCCCATCTTTCATAGGTATTCAACAGCGAATCACCACCGGTACTGCAGGTCCAATATATGTTCATTGCCGAAGTGGTTGTAAAAAAAAGCTTAGCGTTGAAAAGGAAAGATCACTCACCAAGCTGGAGCTCCTGTTTGTCAACAGCTGGTCCCTGATCCAATTTTACTCTACCACATCGAACAAACCAAGCTGAATCTGCGACTGGAAGGCAGACAAGTTGCACAGTCGCGTCATTTCCCATCGATGCTGCTTATTATCTGGCATTTCAGGCACGGGACCGAACGCTTCGAGCGGTATCGACCAGAAGCCTATGGCGTTTTGGCTCTTTGAGAACTCCAGATCTTCTTCACTGTCTGGATTAGACATCTCGGGGTACCATGCCTTATATGTACCCTCTAGTTCCCAATGACTGACCCAGGACTCCTCCTCTTGCTGTCTGAAGCGACGCGCTTGCGTGGTGGATGCTATCGCAAGGTCTCCATCACGGTCACTTGTCGCGATGAGGACACGCATCTTGTTTTCTGGAATTGGGAAGACACCAGAAGCTGCTTCAAGCCTGCGCCAGGCGTCGATAAGTCTGCGAGGGTCCCATGAACAGTCGACTAACTCAAGATGGCGATATATGCAACGAGGATCGGAGGGAAGGACACAATAGGAGGCATTGCTTGACCATAATGGGTACGCTCGATTGAAACGAACTTTCTCCGATTGAGATACCTTATTCGCAAGAACGTCTGACAGTATGTTGGAGAACATTTGGCGCGACTTGGCGTAGAGCAGGTGGATGAGAGTGACGGTTCTCAGGTTCGTGAGAGTAGTGTACATGGCAGGTTGCGCCCGACTATCTATGTCTGTAGTCTCTGAAATGCGATCAGTACAAGTACACTTTGAATATATTTGCGCCAGTTATCCCGACGAGAACTTCCAGGTGATGGTGACAGACTAACCCATGGGTAGATGGAGAGAACTTCCCTTGTCCATTATCGCCAAGTGAAGGACACCCTCCCTCTTGGGATCATATGCTTGCGCATCATGGACGAAGTCGGCAAAGTAGGCCTCATCTTCTTTGCGCTCGATTGCAACTAGAATCGTATCTCTCTTTGGACAGAATTGCAAGAACGGCGATCTGGTATGTCCTATGCATTGCACTGTGGGGACTTGCACACGATAGATACGGCGCACGACGGCACTCGCCTCATGACTGACATAGAGCAGAGGTGAGACTGTCTTTGTTGAATCCAGGCGCACATAGTAGCCGGCACCGCTAACGATGTTTCCTAGATGATTCTCGTTCTGATATGTTGCATGGACTGGACTGTCCATAACGCTGTTTTCGAATGGCGATGCAGGGTCGCCGGTCGACCCCGCTGCCGTTAATGTAATTTTAAGAAGTCGTTGTGTCGGTAAACTAAATTTCCATATACGCCTTCGTAACTCAAGAGGCAGCCTTGGGAAAAGAGAGAATCTTGCATAACCTTCGCTTGGCTGTGCAAATGCTGTATTCAGAAACCCGAAATCCATCGGGACGTCGTCTACGTTTCTCTCAGCCAACTTGCGAGATGTTCGTGTGCCGTGCTTCGACCATGGGAATTCAGGTGCGGCCATGATCTAAGTCTACAGGTTTCTCGTCTGCCTAGTCTTCGCTGTCACAGACTTGGGCTTTTTGTGATACGCTGTCTCGAAGGAGTTTTGTTGATTCAATTGATGGTACAACACTCGAATGCAAAACGAGCCCGAAGGTGCTGGGAACAAAGCAGGATAAGATCATGTAGATTGCGATTTCGAAAGTTGATCGGAACTGTGGGAGTTGATGCAGAAGCGCACCTTCCAAGGTGGCACAGTAGCGTTGCCTAAAAGGGTAAGGACCGGTCGCACCGGAGTCTGATAATTGGGAAGAGCCGCATGCATTGAGCAGGCTTACACCTGCTGCTCACACACGAAATGATCTGTAAACGGACTTCAGTACTTCTTTGCTTTTGCCGAACACTCACTATGCAAATCGGAGTCCGCTACCGGCTGCCAGCAGGGTATTATCGTTACTTCTGTGGCACGCGAGGAGTGCGGCACTGTCGTTCAGCGGGCATGTGTACGGGTCAACGTCATTTGCAGTTTGGTTATACAAGCTTGCAGATCTGAATGGGATATTTTGGTAGGAGAACGAGTAGATTAGATTTGGGAGAGGCAGGTGAGCGCAAGCTAGACAGAAATCTCAGTATGGCAAAGTGAGGAATCGGTGTAAGTATCTCATCTGCCAGTTGTGGCCCAGCGTCTCCGTTATTATACCATTTGAAACACCGGTACATTGTGACATAAATTTTGTCCGTTTGAAACCCCACCAGTAATGCCCTTGTTGCCAACCTGCAGGAGGGTAACGCCAGGTTTATTCCAATCCAAGTGTCCCTACCTAACGAGTATTTAAGAACCACTCCATCTTGCACATCAGAAGAAACATCATTTTGCAAGAGCCGAAAATTGTCTTTGCGTATTCCACACTCTTCCTTCAATCTTGTCTTCTAGCAGCATAGCTCCAGTGTTGCATCAACAACGGGACTTCTATCAGCGACCTTCGTTTCAAAGCTGCTACTTAATTGATCCTTACCGCAATCAAGAAGCAAAACATGCACTTTCATCTAGTCAACCTTACTGTGTACCTATTTGCAGCAGGGCTGCTTACGACCAGCTCCTCTGCGCCACTGTCAACTGGGAGTTCAGTTGAACAAACGCATGCCAAACGGCCTGATGGCGGCGTAACAGGCTTTGGCCAGATCAGTTCTCTTGTAAGAGCAGCAGATGACGGTGAAATTGAGCGAAGGGCAATTATCTCTATCGAGGAGAGAGCGACTCCAAAAGCTCCGGCTGGCAAGCCATCTCTAAGGCTCGAGTTCACCAAATATCCGTCCAAGAAGCAGAAATGGACTCCACCGAGACCGAAGAAACCGGCCACAAAGCTCGCAAAGAGACATACATCCACCTCCGCCCTCGCAAAGAGAGCCAACATCGACGTTGCCGAAGGTACAACGCAGCCTGAGAAGTCCACAGACGTGCTTCGAACCTGGCACGTAATCAACTGCATCGCGATCGCAGCCTACGACACCGCCACAGGAGCAAAAGCCATGGCACATATCAACGCCGTCAGCGCAACAGGAAAAGAATACGGCGAGCAATTTGGCAAATTTGCAGACCCCATTTTTGCAAGCTGGAAAGGCCCCGTGGAGATCTGGGTTCGCTGGCCCCATAAGACTGCTATTCCCGCGGATCGGGCGGATCTGGCGCCGAAGCAGAAGGAGTTCGAGGATAGCATCAGAGTCTGGGTGGCGTATATGAAGGCTCCGCAGTTTAAGGTGTTTCATCAGCAGGCGAAGAAAAGGGAAGGAGATATGGTTATGACTGCAGATGGAGATGTCGCTGTGGATACTTAGCTGCATATTACCCTATTATGTTGTCATAGATTATGATCACTTTCATTGGGGATTATGGCGATGGTCGAGAGCACAACTGTAGAAGAAGATGGCGATATAGACATTTGGGCTGAGACGTTTATGTCCAATATCATATGTGCTAAACAACACTCACAAACCACAAGCTCAAACCTGGTCAACAACGACTTCACTATCTCCAACCCACGACTCAACCTCCTCCGTCCAGGTCAATACCATCAAAACACCCCCTTCGTAACAAACCAAGATTTTGTTCAATCAAGTCCAACTCTTTGCCACTGAGCAAGATGACGCTTAGAGGCAAAAAGTTGACTGGACAAAAAAAACATACAACAATAGGTAACTTACCGCTATTTTCTACACAATAGTCATTATTGGAATCTCACTTGTAGTTTTCGGACGTCAGTTTTAGTGGTCACTCTAAGTGGTGCCAAGCTAGAAGTGTGAACCGAAAGTTGACATTTTGAAAATAAATAACACAACTCACAGCTGCAGCGATTAAACTACAACAGGTATTTATATGAACTGATCGGTAGTTCCACTAAACCACCGATGCGGTAGTGAATTGATATCCACGCTACTTGATGGAGACTCGTTGTCAATTGAAATCTATATCCGGACATACAATTGATACAGGTATTTGTGGGCTTACGACAGAACTCCACAGATGCTTCAGAGTCGTGCAGCTCAAGTTAGCGAAAAAGTCAGGGACCCGCTTCATGAGTCGCTGACCTTGACGAAATTTATCGGAGGCCACACCTAGTTGCGTTCTAGCTCGTCAGCATCGAGCACATGCCGCAGACACGAGATGAACTGTCCATGCATACCTCTATTATGTAGTGTGAGCGTACATTGTCGAGAAATCCAAGATCTCAGACTAGATCCAATCACGTCCGGTCATCCACCTGGCGAAATGCAGCGTCAGGCAAGAAGACGCTCTCTTGTGGAAGGGCATACGCTGGAACAGAGGCGTTCAGTCGTAGTTCCGCAGCTCATTGGCTGATGAAGATAGTTTGGATCCTATGAAATTGTCAAGCAGCTGGTTGGACGTGCCCAGGTACAGCTCCACTAGTCCGTATTCGATGGTCAAGATATTGTCGAGCAGGGTCATGCGAATATACAATGCTTTGGGGGGTATTTAACAGTATCAACGCAAGTACGAAACAAACCATCCTTCAAAGCTCGAACCAACTGCCCGCAGCCCAAACTACTGCGCAGCCTACCAATGCTGCGGTACCCACGATCTGCTTCGACCAACTCTGTTCCTCCTGCACCATGGCTGCACCTTGCTTCTTGAGACAGTGGGCTGGCTTGGTCTCTTCAAAGACATGCTTCGCTTGTGGATGCATACTCAAGCTCTCGTTGTGTCTCTTCTTTGCCTCCTGGATCATTCGCTCGATAGACTCCAGTTCCTGTCTCCACTGTGTCTCGTTCCTCTTTTCGCCCTCAACCTCAACATTCTGAACATTTCCAAAGAAGTCCATAACAAGTCTGTTCCTTGCAGCCTGTTCGCCCCCTTCGAACAGATCGTAGCGTATGCCCGGATGCGAGTGGATCTTCTCCTCGTCGTAGCTATCGAACAAGTCGCCCATGGTAAGCTTTGAGGTCGGATCGCGAACTTGTGTCTCAGTGAATTCGAGGTTGTAGTATGTGTAGCGGTCGATAACAGCGACGCCCACATCTTGGTCGGCGTGATGCGAATACGAGGATTGATCGATCTCAGAAGAGCCGGTTGCGAGAATGTTTGGAGAATAGAACTTCGAGTACATGGTGTTCGCCTGGCAGGTATCAATCATGAAAAGCATTTCATGGTAGCTGTGATTCGCGTGTTAGTGAGACATAACAGGGCATGATCTGTTGATGGCGTACCGTTTCTTCTCCCACATCTGGCCGAAAGCGTCTGCTAGATCGAAAGCACTTATTTCTTCGGCGTCTTGGAACTTCAGGAACTCGTTACCGCCATGCCCGGTCATGTAGACCAAAATGTTACTCCTTTCGTCGGTCATCAACCTCTTACTGCGGGGTGTATCCTCGCCCCAGCGGTCTGTCATGAGCCGGATGAAGTTCTCCACCGTCACTTCGTATCCCCTATAGTCCACCTCAATGTTGTCTCCATACAAATCAAGAGCGCGGTCGGCGTTGTTGAAGACGGCTCCAGGGAAGGCGTTGCGCGGGTTGCAAGCCATGTCATCGGGTAGCATGAGGATGATCTGCGAGTCTGGAATACCGAGGCGCTTCACTGTACGGTACAGCGACAAAACGTTGGCGAGATGACGGTAGTTGAACCAGAACCGTGACGTCCCTACAAGCACCGCCCAGTTGGACGTGTGTTCTCCTGCAACAAGGGATCCCGCCAAAAGCGGGAGGAGGGCGCTGACGAACTTCATAGTGAATGCGCCTCACGAGGAATGAGACTGAAAAGTGAGGAGTGTCGAGAAGTGCAAGCGCACCAGAAAGTGTTCCCGCAAGACAGCCTGTGATGCTCGTTCAACGTTGGTAAGCAACGAATCGGAGTTAAGCCGGCGTCAGCTGCATCACGTGCGGGGCAAGCTCCAACTAATTGAATCATTGGCAGCCGCGCCTATCTGCATTTATCTGAGCACGCAATATTATCCTGGCTCGCTCGACAAACTGATATGCTTGAATAAACGTCCTGTCGCGTTCATATTCTCGCCCTGTCCGTTTCACTCCCACTCCAGGACTTGTCAGCTATGGCGCCAGACCGAGGATCCTCGCCGCACCCATCCGTGGATGACTATGACAGAGTTGAGGATACCCAGAACAATGCGCCAATCCATGCTGGCGACCGCGACTATCTGGCCGAGCAAGCTGGGCAGCCACAGAACTTTACGCTGAGGGGCGTCCTTGTTGGTCTAGCCATCGGTATTGTCATATGTTTCTCCAACATGTACTTTGGTCTGCAGACCGGCTGGGTATCTGGTATGGCCATGCCGTCCGCTTTGATTGGGTTCGCATATTTCAAAGTTGTTGCTCGCACACTGAAGCTTCCGTTCACGCCTGTGGAAAACGTGCTTGTGCAGTCGGTTGCTGGATCCGTTGGCACAATGCCGTTAGGATGTGGGTTTGTGGGCGTCATCCCAGCCTTGAACTTCCTACTGAAGCCAGAAGAGGGAGGGCCGTTGGACATCAGTCTATGGAAGTTGATAGTATGGGCAGTAGGCATCTGCTTCTTTGGTGTCGTTTTCGCCGTACCATTGCGGAGGGAGATGATCATCAGGGAGAAATTGAAATTTCCTAGTGGTACTGCTACCGCATTGCTGATCAAGGTATTGCACGGTGAGAAGGATTCGGGGCCTATTGCTTCAGAGCATTCCAACAGGCGGGATGGAGACCATGACGAAGCCCGGGGCCTTCTACAAGATGAGCGTGCCGAAGGAAGAGACCCAGAGGAAGAAGACGAAAGCGGCGACTGGAAAGCAAAGATTCGACTTCTCGTAATCGCGTTTGCCGGCTCTGCGCTCTACACTGTCTCATCTTACTTCGTTCCTCAACTTCACGACATCCCCGTCTTCGGCCTACCACTGGCAACAAAATGGCTCTGGACTCTCAACCCATCACCCGCTTACGTTGGCCAAGGCATCATCATGGGTCCCGCAACTACATTGCATATGCTTCTCGGCGCGGTCATAGGCTGGGGTATACTCTCTCCTCTCGCAAAGCATCAAGGCTGGGCACCGGGTCCCGTCTCAGACTGGACCAATGGCTCCAAAGGCTGGATAGTGTGGATCTCGCTTGCCATCATGCTGGCTGACTCACTTGTCAGTCTCGGCTGGCTAGTTCTCCGTCCACTCATTGCACTCACACGTCTCTACTATCCCACAGCCAGAGAGACATTCTGCTCACATACCTGGCGCGAACTTTTTACCCTCAACATTTCTCGCCAGCAGCGATATAGTCCACTCGCCGATGGAACATCTGCAGATCCTGTCGCAGCCGTCAAACAACAACTCGATTCTAACTCTGAGCCTGACGCGCCACCCGAACACCTGATCTCGACACGCACGACTGTGGTCGGGTTAATAGGCTCGCTCGTTGTTTGCGTAATCGCAGTTCACGTCTCCTTTCCCAGTCTGATTCCCTTTCGCCTCACGCTCCTCTCTCTCGTGCTTGCGCTCCTGCTCAGCATCATGGGCGTCCGTGCGCTAGGTGAAACAGATCTCAATCCTGTGTCGGGTATCTCGAAGCTCACACAGCTTGTCTTTGCGCTTGTGACGCCTACGACTGGCCCAGGCGCCAAGAACGCCGTTATCATCAACCTAGTTGCAGGTGCTATCAGCGAGAGTGCGGCGCTGCAGGCTGGTGACTTGCTACAGGATCTGAAGTGTGGACATCTCATCGGTGCGGCGCCAAATGCGCAATTCTGGGGTCAAATGATTGGAAGTGGAGTGGGTGCTGTGTTGTCTGCAGTGGTGTATAAGCTATACACCAATGTTTATACCATACCTGGTGGGCTGTTTGAAGTACCAACGGGTTACGTGTGGGTGTTCACTGCACGATTGGTTACAGGCAAAGGACTGCCCCCAATGGTCGCGCAATGGGCGAGCGGTGCAGCGCTTATCTTCGCAGTGGGAACCATGATCAGAGTATGGGGTACGAATAGGAAGCAGAGAGGCTTGAGTGGGTGGTGGATCGATTTCGTGCCAGGTGGCATTGCAGTCGCCGTTGGTATGTACCGGATCCCTCGCCGACAACGATCGCTGACTTTGATTCAGGTATGTACAATACGCCTTCGTTCACATTGGCGCGCACCGTTGGCGGTCTTATCAGTTTATGGTGGAGGAGATGGAAGGGTCAGGGCGAGACGCCCATCATCGTGTTGGCTAGCGGCTTGATCTTAGGTGAGGGACTGTTCAGTATTGTGAATCTGCTGTTAGCAAGCTTGGAAGTGCCGCACCTCTAAATGAGCAAGCGCAGTAGCAGACGAACTTTGTCTACTGGAAATGTATTGCTACTGTCGTTGCACTGTTTCCAATAACATGAGCAAGTTTGCAGTCCCATAATTCCTCCTTTCGCGAGGTATCATCCACTTCCCACAGCGCCATGTATCAGCTGCTCATGCCTAGGTGTACTTGCAACCCAAACACCATGTAATGCTGTAAAGGAGTTCGAAGTCCCGAAGCTCCGTAGTTTATGCACCGCCCTGATTTGACTATATTCCATGAAACATACTCCGGAAACGAACCTCCTATAGGATCGTAGGGGTTATGAAGGATTTGCACATGGCATAACGCTCCATTTTTGGTGCACCTAGCCAAAGTGGCCTGATCCTTCTGCACCACCGTATGCCGTCTCCTTGAATCCCACAGGCACGGTCCATCCGTGCATGGCACATGCGCGCATATATGCCTCGACCGCCTCACCAACTCCATAATCGTATCGTCCACCTCTTTCGAGACGAGCCGGCTTTGGATCGAGGCTGGTAATAGCCATGCGTACTTGAACCAAGACAGATTCAATAGAAGATGCGGCGCTCCACCCGTCGTTTGTCAAGAGCTCCATGCACATGGCACCACCCGCAGTGACGTGACCACCACCCCCAGCTGCAAAGCTAAGAAATCGCGGTCGGATGACGCGGACGAAGGGTGGAGCCATGGGATAGTCCTTGCCGAAACGCAGTTCCAAAACCACACTCTTGACGTCAAATTTCTTCATGTCCTGTGCCAGCGGGAGCTTGGGGTCGAAGGAGTGCAGTTCTACGATCCACTGGTAGATGTTCTCAATCTTCTCCGCGTCAATGTGCCATCCAAGCTCGTGCAAAGGTTGCGCATCTTGTGTCACAATGAGGGCTTTGAAGTCTCGCATCAAGCATCTCGTCGCAGCAGAAGACGCCCAAGAGGGTTGCTGGAGCATGGGCAAGGTGCTGTAGTCCAACGTTCCAGGAACGTAGTCCGTAAGAGACTTTGAGGGCCTCAACTTACTGAAGAAAGTACCAAATGCAGACTTGCTCAGTCCATGCTTGTTAGAATTAGGTGTCAATAAGGCATCGACAGACTGCTCGTCACTCAGAGAGCCATCATCGAGAACGATGCGATCCTCATCTAGCGTGGCGATGCTTGAAGTATCGTCGTCATCGATCTCGATAGCATCATACTTGCTCGTTCCATTTGCTTTCATCCGCTTGTGCTGCTGCTTGAAGTTTAGTACATGCAACACTTTGACCAATTTGATACGACTTACAGTAGTGTTAAGCGACTTTGATCGTCTGGACCCTGTGACTGCGTGTATTGGGATGACAAGCTTGCAGTCACTCCCCATCGGTGTCATAGTCGGGTCCTGCTCAAGGATCTCCAGCGGCATGGATTTCTTGTCCGTTGAACCGTTCATCTGCTGATGCGTGGCACTACTGACGAACAGATAGCGAGTCTGGATCCAGTCGAGCTGGGCAACTACAAGATGCGGGGTTCTGCTAACGAATTCTTGGGGTGCATTGCAGATCTCGTTCAGCGCTAGAGCCTGTTGAATGTTGAGCTCGCTGTTTGGCCATGTGTAACCATATCCTCCAAAACCTGAATAGCCTATGCTGGTATTTGCATCCAAAGAGTGATAGACACCGTGGCCGAACGCACGACCGTGGTGAGTCTCATTGAAGTGTAAGCCTTCGCGGATGATGCTGTGCCAATTTTGAAGAGGACTTCCGTGCCATGCGAAGAGAGTTGGAAATTTCAGATGCAGTCGATCTGTGACAGTCCGTACAGATTGAACAAAACGTCGTTCTTTGTCTGGTGCACCCATGGCAAACCTGAACTGGGTCCACCTTGACATTCCGTACAGTCGATCCTCAGCTTTTCGCCCAGAAGGAGCATCATCCTCAGTATCGACTTGGAGAATGCATGCTCGATTCGATGCTATAATCCAGCGCAACAATCCTAATGCTGCTGGGCAAAGGCGATCTATCCAGGCGCTGAGAGAAGATTGAGCTTTGCGAAGCAGATACTGTCTCATGTCTACGGTAGACGGTAACAAATCGAGAAGGAGACAGACTACCTGTCGCTTGTTCTGCTCAGACAGATCGTCGAAATTTTGGTCATAGGCTTGGAACTTAGCGGGACGGAAGTCGCTCTTTTTGCAAGGGACCAGAGAAGCCGGCTTCGGTGCCGAAGTTGGTAGCGGAGCAATTGAGGGGAGGCCATGACCTCGAGAAGATGCATCCAGGGTCGCGATGGCAGACTCTAGGGGCTCGGAAATCTTTACCGTTGGATAATACGAAGTTTCTACGACTCGGCAGTGCAAGGCTTTGCTTGGGTCGTCATCGAAGCGGAATGTGATCCACTCGTTCGTACGCAGGGGGCACTGCTTGCTTTTATCTTCGAACAAAATTTCCCGAGTATCGAGTTTGACTTTAATCGCTGTGGGGGCAATCTCGCGCCCTTTGTCTGGTTTCTTACGGGGTTGCGTTGATGGCTGCAGATGCATGCCACTTCGGGGTTGAGTAATGGCGTATTCCTCTTCGTAGGAAGATGGAGGAGGTACCATCAATGCAAGACCAGCAGGGAAGCTTTTCAGTCTGGACTGGCGTGCACTAGCATAGCAAAAACTGACAAGTAGGTCCACTACCTTTGGTTGTGAGAGAACCTCATGCTCAATGCTGGGGCCAAATCCCAACGACATGTACTGGTAAAGGCAGAGGGGGTTGTCGCAGACGTATGGCTTGATTGCCTGGAGTTCATCTACCATCTTGCTGAAGCAGATGAGACAGAATTCGGTACAGCGCACAAAGTGCCTGAGCATGAATTGCATGCCAACAACAGGCAACGAGTGCTCCTGGCCCGCCGATTGCAGGATATGGTCGGCTGTGATCAAAGGAGGGTATGCAGTGGTGACGACTTCAGGGACATAATACTTGCCTTCTGAGCCTTCGGAACGACTGCTAACTGGTCGAAGGATCTGGTCATTATAGAACATCTCAGCTCCGTTCCAATCCATCCCCGCGTATCGATACTTCAGCAGCATGTAGAATCGTTGCGCCAGAAGCTCGTTCAACGGCCTTGATATGAAAGATTGCCGAAAGCCTTGGTGAATGGTTGATTGCTGCTGGGAATCTGCCTGCTGAGATTGATCGTCGCGTTTCTCGTCGTCTTTGCTAAGAACGTTGAAAGCCTGCACGGCCTCCTGCAACGTCGGCTTGTAGAATTTGGAGATGCCAATGCGTATCGCGAGGTTGCGTTGTGCCTGGCTATTGTCGTATGATAGTACATCATCCATAGTCCTATAGCCAGCTGGATAGTGAAACAAGGCGATAAGATACTCCGCGGGTTCCACACGCCACGCTTGCATCGCCTCTTCTGAGATACCAAGCTTCGCGATGCGAATAGATATGCTGACGTAGCATCCTAAACCATCCATCAGGCCACCTAGATGACCAACTTTGAAGCCGCTGCTCTTCGCTGCCAGTAGATCACGGCGGATACGTTGACGAATGGCATTTGTGGGCTCTGTAAAGGTGCCAGCGGTCGGAAGCGGGTGGCCATTGACGAAAGCCCTTGGCATTGAGTCCTCGTCCCCGGGAAAATACTCTTCCCCAAATTCATCGTCGTCGTCCGATTCGTCCTCAGGGCCATCGAAGTTTTGTGAGTTGATCATGTGGCGGTCACCATCCTTGTCGGTCGACTCCAGTTTGCGAGAGACAAGTTCCAGAATCTGTTGGACTGTCTTACCAGACGCCGAGATGCTGGCTAAGGTGCTGGCAACACTGGAAGAAGCATCGTCAGGACCAAAGATCATGCAGTCATGGTTCGATGGATAGTCAGATAGCTCTGCCATGAGTGTCAGTTGATCTACAGCGGGAGCAATAATACATGGGCCATGATCTGGGTGCATGGGCCAGACGAGACTGACCGGGTATCAGAGCAGATATCTGGAGACTGTGACCGTCAGCGACGCACACGAAGGTGAATTCGCCATCGTCGCCACCAGGTTGCACGTCTGAGATGCCTGCGACTGAAGTGAACTTGACAGCGGTGGCCAGGTCGGCCACAAACTGCCTGCGGGGCATGCTAGCGGTGCTGTGGCGTAGGGCTCAGCGTCGAAGCTAGCTACCGCAGCAGCAGGTATGTGTTGGAGGATGCGAATCACTTGACGTGCCAGAGTCGAGCTTGGTTGTGAGGCGGATTGCGTTGGCGAGCAAGTTGATGGAGGGCACGATGAGAGTGACTAGAGCGGCACAAGCTACTGCGGAAACGGTGGCGTGTTGCCAATACTTTTGCTTGAGTGAAGGAGAAAACAATTGTCAGTTTTCATGAGCAACACACCTGGCTCACGTGCACCAAGGTAAGTAACGACCTTGAGAGCGTTGAAGGCGAGCGCGAAATGCAGAGACAAAGACAGTGCGCGAAGAGCGGGCGCAGGTTCATGCTTATCAGGACAATTGCTCCTGCGGCTGCGCGGTCGTGTCAGAACTGGCGGTCGTGCAGCGTCGCGAATAATGAAGTGACTGATCGGGCCAGGCAGCAGAGCGCGCCGTAGGTACTCCAGTCGTGCTAGCGCCCACACTCAGGGAGCTCAGGGACCCCGCACCTTTGGGACCAGCGGGGACCAGCAGCGGTCAACCAGCGCCTTCATCGTCAATGGCGAGCGGCCAAGCGAAGAGGCGCGCACGACAGCACCACGACAGGGAACTGTGCACTGGTGCAAGTGTGGGACGGCCGGAGGCGCGTCGCGCTGCAACCAGGATTCGCGCCAGCCTCGGCGCGGCTAGCTGCCCCTCCAGCCGCACTAAGTAACGGGACCCATGCGTGAGACGCGGCTGCGGCCGGCGCTGGAGCAGGAACGCCCACCTCCCGTCATATCTCCGCCGTCCGCCAGCCATGGCCGTTGCCGACGACCGCCCCACGCCGCGGTCGGCCCACGTCTCGGACGCAGCCCTCGCGCCGTTCCTCCGGGCGCGCTTCGACGCCGCCGAGTACCTCAATGCCACGCTCCCGTCGCTCGCGCTGAGCGGGCGCCCTGCCAAGGGCACCTCGGCTTCTCTCGCGGACCTCTCCTCGCAGACCCAAGACGTTCTCGCGCAGCTCAATGCGCAGACCACGCGGCTATCTGCCGTCCTCACGCAGCTGACCGACGACATACTCCGGAGTGGTGGCAGGCTGGCTTACGAGGTCGAGGTGTTGCGTGGGGAGACGATTGGGCTCACGGACGCACTCCAGGATGGATCAAAGGAAGACATCGCCAAGTTCCTGCCCGGCGGCCTGGCACAAGCGATGGACCAGCCAGACGTGCAGAACAGCCAAGTTTCCGAAGACATTGCAGCTCCGGACATGTCACAGGATGCCTCCTCCCCTCGGCCCTCCTCCACCGCCGCCGCCACAACGCCGGACTACATCACTTCCCTCCGCACCCTGACAACCGTGAGGTCACGTCTCGAGAACGTCATCAAAGTCTTTGGCGAAGCCATGCACTGGACCATCCCCCCTTCGGATGTCTCGCTTGGCTCTTCGCTGATCAGCGTGTCCGCCCCTGAACCCGGTAGCGACAACGCCTCACTCGAGCAACGCGGCAAAGAGTTTGCATCTGCTCTGCGCTCTGAGATTGCTGATCTCATCATCGGCGACCCAGAGCAAGGGCCAGCAAAGGCAGAGGCCAGGATACAGGCACTGCGCGATCTGGCCGTGGTGTGGAAGGGCACAGCCGAGGAGAAGGCGCGAGCAAGGTTCGTCGAGGGACTGATCAAAGTGGCTGAAGATAAACAGAGAGAAGCCGACAAGGAGAGAGAGAGGAGTAAAAGAGGAGGGGCAAGGGCTTCGAGTGTAGTACAATCGCAACAGCCACCACCAAAAGAGCCAGGGAGAGGCGGCTTTCTGGAGAATCTCAGTAGGATACGAGGGTTCGTTGAATAGGTCACGAAACAATCTGAACAACGCAGTCCAACTCAGGTGGCAGTCAGTGCCGTGCTCTCGGTCTGATTGAGAGCCTGCATGTGCATCACCTATGATTGCTTCAGTGTGGTCCTGGAGCTCGAAAGAGAGTCTGTGATTGTGTGTCGGCTACATTATGTCCAGCTTCCGCTTCAACCCACCCTCGGTCGGCTTTGTTGGATCCTCTAGGAGCCAGCCCTAACGGGCTGCTACAACCAGAATCACCTCAAGCCATTACCAGGGGCGGAGATGCTACTTACAGAGGCACTGTGTCCCTTCCCACCATAGCTCTACAAGAACAAACTCAAGGCCTCGAATAGCCAAACTCCTGCAATGCTCCCCGGGTATCATAACAGCGAAAGAACTCCATCCAAATGCCAAGCTAAAGTCATCTCAATAGATTGGCAGATTCTCAATCGCTTCCCTTGCGCGGATTGCCTGCGCGTCGAACGCCAAGATCTGCTTCTCGCAAGCCTGCCTCAGCTTCTCTTCACCCCTCTTTGCGTTGTACAAGACCCATTGCTCTACCGACATCTCTTTCTCGGACTTGGTCAGTCCGTCTAAGACAGCAGCCTGAAGGTCCTCTGAGGCAGTGCCAGCTGGGATAATGGCGTCAAGCCCCGCGTCGATGATGATGTCGTTGATCAGTACTTGCAGCTGTTCAGTGTTGCCGAAGAAAGCGTCAATGTCGATAGGATCCCAGTTGTGGCCCTGCTCGGCCTTCTCAGGGGTCATCATCCTCGTGGGTGTCTTCTTAGGAGTTCCAACAAGGAGCGACGCGGGCAAACTTGAGACGTCGGCTTCCATTTCCTCAGCCTCCGGTTCTGCTGGTCCGGGTTCCGTTGGTTCGGTATCTACCAGCTCTACAGGTGCCCCTTTGGGTGTGCCCGCAAGCAGGGAGTCGGGAAAGCTCGAAACGCTGCTGTGTCTGACGCGCTTTGGCGAAGAGTCTTCGACGACCTCGATGTCTTCGATCTGGTCGCTTGGCCGCTTCTTGCCGCGTGATTTTGTGGTGGTGCTTGCAGAGGAGGTACGCTTGGTCTTGGGCGCGGCTTTCTTGGCCTTGGGTTTTGGTGCGGGCGGAGGTGCTGGCTCGTCCTGACCGTCGTCCGTGGTGCTGCCCACATGTTCAACAGCTTTTTTCTTGCCGCGTGTAGGTTTATCAACTATGCTGTCGATTGTGTTGTCGATCTGTGTGCTGGCGCGGCCCCTACTTCGTGTGGACTTTTCTGCAGCAGTGGGAACTGTGTCGTCGATTTGGGTGCTCGCGCGTTTTCTTCCGCGCGTAGCCTTGGGCTTGACACTCTCAATGGAATCATCGGCCTGTTCACTCGTACGCCTCTTGCTGCGAACGGGATCCAGCAGGCTAGAGATCGATTCATCGATCAGCTCACTGGCGCGCTTCTTTGCGCGAGTCGTCTTTGATGCTGTGCTGGCCGTCGAGGTGCGTGCAGAACCGCGTTTTCCCTTTTTAGAGGTAGTCTTTGTTGTGGAATGGTAAAGTTCCTTGAGTGCGAAAAACAGACAGTCAGACGCGCGACGTCGATGCTCCTCCATCGGATCATCGCCGATGTCCCACGCATCCAGAGACAGGGAACAATATGGACAGGTGGCGCCATCAGGGGTATCCAACGTAGGATCATAATACCAGCCAGCGGCTACCAACTGTACTATATGTCAGCGCTGGAAATACTCCAGGGTGGTACACAGCCTACCTGCTCGATGCTGGGATACCCTTCGTTGCTGTCGAGAGGCCACGCGTCGCCGAACGTGTCGCGACGCGCCTGCATCATCGCGTCCGAGACGGGGTCATCCTCGCTCTTGCCAGGATCTCCGCTTCGCAGACGGATGCATGTAACGACGGCGAAGCCGCAGCTTGGAGAGTGTGTAAGATGTTCGTATGCGGGTACATCGTTCTCCTCCCAGCCGTCGAGCTGGCAATGGCACGAGAAGCACTGGACGTTGTCTGGGCTGGTTGTCGTCGGCTTCCACACAAAGCCGGCAAAGGCGAGATCGTGTGCCGATGGGAGTGCCAATGGCCAGACAGACCTCGGCTTGGGGGGCGCCTTCTTCGACTTGGAGGATGTCCGCCTGGATTTGGAAGTCACGGGCGCCGTGAACGTCTCGAGGCGCGCCTGCAGACACGCAAGAGAGGGCGCCATGGCACCTGGACGCGAGCGCGGGAATGCGCTCGGCTCGGGCAGCAGGTGGGAGGCGCGGTTTGGAAGGTAATCGTCGCGGGGTTGGACAGTACCAGTCGCAGATCTGGAAGCTTGAGCGTGATGGTGATGGGCGTTGATCTCAGCGGGGGAAAGTCGCGGTTGTCGGGGAGCGCAGGCGCGAGGTAAACACGGCGCAAACACGGCGTCAACACGGATTTAGCCTGCTTACGTCACCCCTAGCTGTGTGCGCTGCCCACAGCCTCAGGCATCGACCTCACACCCCCAATGTATCAATTCCGCCCACTCGCACGGACAGCGTGGTGCAGGACGCCCCTGCTGCTTCCTGGCCGCCGGGCCTTTGCGTCGCAGCAGGTGCAGGCCGGCCAGGCGGGCGCAGAGGCCCATTCGCTCCCTGCAGGATGGGAGGATCAAGAGCCCACGCTCTCCGACTTCTCAGAGCTGCCGCACAAGGACTTTGGGAAGAACCAATTGATCCAGACGAACGAGGACTTCAAGCGGTCCCTACGAGGAATCCTGCGCCAGTTCCCGCCCGTCACATATGCCTTTGCCTACGGGTCCGGCGTCTTCCCCCAGTCGGCTGCCACGGCGTCGCTCACCACCGAATCGCCGCACCCAAACCCCCCCGAGGCGATATTGAAGTGGCAGAAGGGCGGTGGAAAGATGATTGACTTCATCCTGACGCCGCGCTACTCGCAGCATTTCCACTCGCTCAATCTGCGCGAGCATCGCGACCACTACTCGTTCCTCGGGTCCATGGGCTCGGGCGTTGTCAGCCACGTGCAGGACCGCTACGGAGCAGGCGTGTACTTCAATCCGTACATCACCGTCAACGGCACCATGATCAAGTACGGCGTCGTCAACTTCGAAACCCTCCTGCGCGATCTCACCGACTGGGACACACTGTACCTTGCCGGCCGCCTGCACAAGCCCTGCAAGATCCTTCACGAGGAACCGAACATCCGTCTTGCGAACCAGCGCAACCTGTTGTCCGCCGTTCGATGCGCTCTCCTCCTCCTTCCACCGACCTTCACCGAGAAGGAGCTGTATTCGACAATCACCGGGTTGAGCTACCAAGGCGACCCACGTATGCAGTACGGCAGCGAAAACCCCAAGAAAATCGACAACATTGTCACGCACCAGATCCGAAACTTTAGATTGCTATACCACGACCTGCTCGTGTCGCTGCCCAACATCATGTACGCTGACTTCTCCGCTGTGAGTAAGTCGGATTGGATGGACGATGTGAAGCTGGACTTGAAGATGTCGCAAGACATGAGCCCCGAGCGACGCGCAAACATGGTACGACGACTGCCCAAGAAGTTCCGTGAGAAGATCTACTTCCTGTATCGGGGCAAGTTCGGCATCTCCGGAAGCGAGTACAAGGATATGTTGGAAGCAAGCAAAGATGAAGATGCCAAAGGTGGTGTCAAGAAGCAAGTCGGGAGCGACTTTGATAAGCGCATCGCAGCCGAGACCGATTTGCCCCAGATGGTGACAAGAGCAATCAACCAAACCGTCAAATGGCCATCGACGATGCAGAGTTTGAAGGGCCCATTTACAGCAGGACCACAGAGGGCTTGGAGATACTTGGGAGAAAAACGTGCAAAGGCCAAGATGTGACAAGGCCGGCCATCCAACCACCAACAGCAAGAGTCGGATCGTACTCTGTTCAGGCAGAAATCCCTTTTGTAACATTACGAAAGCGCAAGCGAGCAAGCGAGCGTCAACTATAGACTTGTATTTGGGCTGCATGCAGCCGCCGTTAGCAGCATGCGGGTCAGGCTTGGGGGAAAAGTTGAGCGAACGTCATTTCTTTGCTGCCTTATAAGGATGCACTTCAGTGCCACCACGAAATCGCATTCGTTTGCGGCTTCAAAAAGCTTATTCAATCATAGATTACGAGCCGGAGGCTTGCATCTTCTTATCCATACAATCAAAGCGGCCGGACACATGCTTCTGATACGATCGATAGCGGTGACGAGCAATACGCTCAACCTGTGACGAACACCTTCCTTACAACCCTGAATTTTGTGCTGTTATCGCAGTAGTACAAGGCCTGTTTGTAAGACTTTATCAAGAAGCCTCCCACATATCACAGTTTCCGACAGCAGCGGTGAAAGCGACAGGTGTATATACCCATTCAGCTGTGAAGAAACACCGAATTTGGAGGAGGGTTTTGAGGTTATTTGACACGCTGTCGGCAACTTTGTAAGCACTCTGAGGAATACATCAAAGCAAGAGCAAAAATTAAAGTCTACAGTGTAACGTTGTAGCCTGAAACCAATGTTGTAACAATTTGATTTGTTGCCAGCCTCGACTTTAATGCCTCCGTGTCATACATCGGGTATTTGGCTGCGATCGTTGCGAGTATGCCACAGACGAGCAAGTTGCCGGTTCGTCGCAGCCTTCACTGAAGTGGACCACCAAGAGCTGGCCGAAGAGAAGGGCGTACTGTCCTGCGACACCATGGTCCATGCATGCAAAAAACTGAAAAAGGCACTGACCTTCAAGTTCAACTTCACTTTCAGCACCCACTGGACTGTAAAACTCGGCGGGGTTCTCGAGTCCCTGCTCGATAATGGATTCTTGACCAGAGAGCAAAAGCGGTCTCGCGAACCCGCAGGGGCCGTGGTCATGAGGAGAGTCATTACCGTGTTATACCACGACGCAATCTACGACGGTACGAGTGGATGGTCGGCCACTTTGAGCAGCATTGCCGCGCTGCTTCTTCTATCCTGTCTCGGTGTCATGGTGGGCGACATCATGGGACCTGCACAGGACAAGAGACCTGATCTCCCAGGCCTGCGCTTTGCCGACGTAGACGTACTCGTCACCAAGAGTGCTGTCCGCACGCGCTTCAAGATCCGCAGCGGCAAAGGAATGAAGTAGGTAAAACCCGCCATTCTGTGGCCAGAGCTAACCATGTACCAGAATTGACGCAAATAAGTATTTCAATATCTCCAGGGAAGCGCTGCCAGAGGGACGCGACAATAACATGGACCCGTCGACGTAGTCTTGATTCTAGCGATAAGATCTGGCAATGTTCGCGGTCGCTCTCTCAAACAAGTTCTCCGGGACGCGGCCGCCGGACCCGATCAGAAGGTCATTTGGCTGGATGGCAACAGATCTGTGCTCTGTGCCGCAGGCAGGAGGGGAATCGTCGACTGGGAGATCCTCGCACACCGGCAACAAGCCAACCACACGCTCAAGCGCGCTCTTGACTGTATGGACTTGCGTGGTGATGGCGCTCACATCTCACCGCATCAGATCCGTCACGGCATGGCCAGCGACATGATGTTGACAGCGCCATCAAACACGCTGCACAGCAAAGACAACGGCTCTGACGCCCTCGCACATTCAACCCGCACTCGAGCGCGAGACGTGGTCGTGGGTTACACTGGCGCCTTCTCCAACGAGGACACGTGGGGTTCGCGCCTCGCACTGAGTGCCGAGCAGGACGGTTTCAGCAAGTTGGTGGGTCTGACAAACCAGCCGGCGAAGAGGCAGCAAGCAGCTGTGGAAGACAACGAGCCGCGCTCTCCGGCCGGCCTCTGCGACCGCTCCAGAAGCGGAGGACGACGTCGCTGGCGAGGACGACGTCGACGATGCTGGGGATGCCGTATCTGACATTGATGATGAGACAGGAGCATTTGACGTCGACGATATCGTCACCGCTGAGCTCCCAGAGGATAACGGGGATGACGCTGTGATGGATATGTTGAGCGCCGGGCCGCCTGTGAGCCGGAATGCGGGCAACTCTCTTGATACTCTTCTGGAGGCCCTGACAGTATCGCGAGCCACCTTTGTCGATGCGTTTGCGACAACTAATATGGTACGCACCACTCACAGAGGTGAGAATGTCCTGAGATATGCCCGTTCGTGTGGTAAGGACCCAAGCAATACCATCGCGACCATGGAGCGCTTCATCTACAAATGCTGCAATGACTGCGAGTTTGATGTTCGTGGCCGTGCACCTACGCGAGGCGCTAGGCACACAGACTGCCCCACCAAAGAATCCTTCATGCGTAGAGACCTCACCTCCTCTACACAGTAGTTCTCTACGCAGGATCTCAATTCGACTAAGGAAAGTTTTTCACTAGTCCAAATCCAGAACCTGTGTTGCGTGCCCTTACAGAGGACACCTTTGACACGCACCAACTGCGCTGCAAGTATACGGAGCGCGCCGATACAAAGCAACGCAAATCAGCCACTAAGCACGCCCGCAGAGAAGTCAATTGCGGCAGATCGTACAACGGAGTAAGAGAGCTCGACGACCACGCCAGAGACAAGCATACCAAAGTGATATGCTTTATACCAGGATGCAGCGACGACCACACGGGCGAACATGCGCTGCTGGCTCACGTTGTGCAGGCCTACCCAGCGCAAGCCCGTCAGCACGCCACAATCCCAGACCAGCGAGATGCGAAGTTCGTGTGTCCTATAGATGGATGCAGCAAGGAGTTCAACGTTTCTATTGGTAGGGATTGCTTTAGACCACGGAGCTACTTGAAGCACCTTGACGACCACGGCATCAAGAACAAGACTGAACGCGACGCCCTGATGCCAGAATGGGCACGCAGTCCCTGCTTCTTTCCTTGTTGCCGCTCAGAGGAGTGCTTTCCGCAGACGAGGGGGGAAGGATAGGAAGAGGTACCGGAGGCGCCAGAGACGGGGATCGAAGCGTTCCAGGAATCCACCGATGGCTTCCTCGACCTCCGCCGAGTTGAGCGGGAAGACGTGCGAGAAGTTGAACGCCCATGTTGAGGACGACAATATGCTCAAGGCCGAAGCAGAGCTCTACGAGTACTCCGTTGTTCGCCTCCGTGGCTTCGCTCTGCCGAAGAAGTTCAAAGGACTGACGGGGAGCGCGACTGAACTGACGGAGGATACGGTTGACCCCAAGGCACCCGGCACGCGACGTCGACCAGTCATCATCAAAGACAGTGAAGAGGAGTGCTTAAATCAGGACTTTCTTGCACAGCTCAACCTGGTTTGGACAGGAGCACAAGCATTGCTTGCTGAAGATCTAGCAGCACAAACATGGGTTGATGCGCGGAAGGGCTTGATGTCGATGTTTACCGATGGACAAGATATAATAGACCGATTCGACAGGCGTCGCCTGAGTTTCCTTCATCCGAGGACGGTCGCCCATCTTTTGCTCAAGGGCACAAAGATTCAGATAGCACAGTACTTTCCGCTGTGTGAGGATCTCGTCGCAATAAAGAGATTTATGGGCAGCCGATTACCGCGCCGGTTTGGCAGCGATGAAACGTCCAACATGAGAGAGAGCATCAAGCCGTACGTCATCAGCACAATTGATTGCAGGTTTAGAGCAAACGAGATGCCCGCTCATCAAGCCTTACGTCGAGAGGCAAGTACGAGGTTCTTTCGAACCGGAATCAAATCTCAAAAGGCCTCCAATGCGGCCGCGGCCTTTGGCGGTACGAAGGGGTCACTTATCTATCCCGTCGCCGAGATGAGAGAGCTCCTCATCACAGCCATGTCGCGGTTTATGTGCGAGCAGCAGCATCTGGCGCTGCCGACCAACGCAACTGGATATATGGAGGCCATATGCGAAGGGTCGCCACTCCTCCGCGGTCTCATTCAGTATGTTACAAAGAACGACAGGTTCCTGAAGCCGCGTAAGAACGGCAAGTTCTTGGTCGCAGAGGAAGTCCCTCTGAATGCGCTTTTTCTCGAATGGGGACTGAATATGCTCGGCATTGAGACTGCCGTATTCCACTCTGGCCTCACACAAAAGGAGCGCAACGACCTCCAAGATGAGTTCAACAACCCCGGCAGTTCTCTTACATGCGTCATCATCTTCTACAACGTCGGTGGGGTTGGAATCAACCTGTGGAAAGACTGCCACACTGTATTCTTGGCGACCCCGGCGGCCAACGAGGCCAACGAGAAGCAGGCCTACGGGCGGGTGATTCGCGTGAGTAGCAAAACGCACAATTTGGCCGTACCGAATAGAGCTAACGATCACAGGCGCCACAACCCTTTATCGCGCATATATACAAGTTCTATGTGGAGCAAAGCATCTTTGCCTACCGAGAGTCCCGGAAACGGGACAAGTATCTGGTCAAGCTGGCAACGAGAGCATCCGATCCAGCGATGCGAAGTCTGATAGTAAAGTGTCTAAATCTCCACCAAGAGAACGTCCGAGCGGATCCGACGAACATATCTTGGAAAAGAGGCTCAAGCGGATCCGACGAACAAGCACATCACGGGACAAGTGCATGAGACTCTGACGATTCAAGACACAAAAAAAGATCTCATCATGTCCAAAGCCGTCCACGACCCCTTGGACATTGATTCGGCACCTTCTGTTGAGGGGAAGAGGACCCGGAGATCAGTCAAGCGCTTCCAAGAGGAGTTCGGCTATTACCCGGATAGTGACCTCGAAGACGGGGTCCACAAGAGAAAGAGCAAGGGCAAGGGCAAGTCGCGCGTTGTGGAAGACGACGACGACTTCTCAGCATCGGGAGAAGAGCCGTCAGACGAAAGCGACTACTCGGAGTATGCAGGGGACGACGACGATGATGAAATCCACAGCGACTATAGCCACGACTCTGATGGAGTAGATGGGGGAGCAGAAGACCCGGCTGGCGAAGAGAGGAGGAAAAAGAGACAAGCAAAGCTGGAAGCGTACCTGTCGATGCGAAACGAAGATCAAGAGAACGAAGCAGTACGGCAACTGCGTCTTCTCTTTGCCGCGGATGCCGAGAAGTATACACGGAAGACGACTTAGAAGATGAGAACACTCTAGAGCGCGGCCTAGAGTTAACACACTGCTTCAGAATTGGGCAGCCGCCCGACAAAGTTGCCAGCGTGCATATCAATGTTTGTTTCCCGAAACGCACATGTTGTTACGATACTGACACCACTAGTACGGTGCAATAAGCCACACATTTGATAGCGAAGTGAAAAAAACTCATCAAAGACGACGGCACGAAAGAGGCGCTTTCGCTACTCCTCGCCACGAATGAAGACCATGCGCCCGATGTGGCCCTGGAGAAGAAGACCACTGCACCAGAGCACCACATAATGACAGTGCAAGACCTTAGAAAGCTGTGCATCAGCAAAGGTCTTGATATGAAGGGAAAGACCAAAAAGGCAGATCTGATCAGTTTGCTCGAGATGAACAGTCCCACAGAGGCGGATAAGTCGGGGCGCAGAACAACCGAAAAAGCAACGCGGTCTCTGGTGACGAGCTTTTAGAGTGACATTCGGGATTCGTGCAGTTGCCGTAGAAGCGACGCTTCTTCTTGCTAAACACTTGATGCGCGGCCAGTATTGTAACAATTTGATATGTTGCTAGCCTCGACTTCAATGCCTCCGTGCCCAACAGCGACTACACCAACGCAATTAGCAGTCACCCCTAGGTCAGATAGGCAGACTCATGTACACGTTTTGTTGTTGTCTATGCGCCTCCAATTTGGGAGTTACAAACTTGTAGGCTAAAGGTGGACATTTGATAATTCAGCACGATGTTCAAATTGACTCGTATACCTCCGTTTTAACAAAGATGATGAGCTAGAGATTCGATTGCACTGATCCTCGCGCTCGTGCGACGATGCTCCTGTCAAGATGATCCGACCATGCGCGGCCGCCAGATCAACTCAGCGCCATCCAGTTTTTCAAGCAATACTCAACAGGCCTTGATAATCGACCGCTCGAACTGACACGCAGAGCGACAGCGCTTGTATCCATTCATACAATCTTGTTGATAGGCGAAGCCCAGCCACAGCGGAATAATCTTCTTCAGCATGCAAGTTGATCCCTTTTGAGAGGAAGACTGACATTGCTGGCGAAGTGCGGGTGAGGTGCGAAGAAGCTGTTGTTGATGAGGCAAGCTCAGAAGTGCCTGCGGCGCAAGCTTGACCCACCAAAATACGATGAGATCCTTCTCGACGAGATCACAGACAACGAGAGCGCGTACGTGTGCCCGATGAAGACGTTCATCATCCTCGCATTGTGCCCATGCGATGTCAACGGCTCATGATGGAAGTCCTCGCTCACACTGAAAGTATTAGCCACAACATTTGCTTCACGGACGGAGGTCGGCTAGTTATCTGCGGTGTCGAGGGTGCAGACGATGACTAGTATCAACCTGCCCTGAAGCAGCGTGCGAATCGTTCCTCGGTGAAAGTACTCCAGATCATGGGTGTCGACGAGAAGGACACTATCTCGCCGCGCCAGCCACGACACAAATCCGCACACGACCTCACAGTCACCACTCCGACCGTGGTTAGACATTCCCGGCAGCAGATCTCCAACGCTCTGGCTCAGGGCTTCGTGCAAGACACCGATCTTCGGTATTCTCACACCCACAGCGCCAATCAGACCTGGTCCGGGCGCCTTGCCTTCACCGAAAAGGACGGCGGTTTTCAGCAAGCTCATCGACAGCACTGAGCCTACTTAGTTGAACGCCCGGAAGAGACGCAGCGATCCTCCAGCCGTAGCCCGCGACGACAAGCGTGCCATAACTGCTTCCCGGCTGATTGTAGTTACGAAAGGTGACACTGTCAAGGACGAAGCCGACAACAACGAGTCAGCGAACGTGTCTTCGAAATTGATGAGGTCGCGAATCCCCAGACCAGTATCTCCGAGCTAGATACTGAACTAATCGAGCTCTTGGGGGAAAACAATCTGACTGCTTCTGCTGCCTCGCGCCATGACAACTTGCGCAGTCTGCTCTCGGTAGCATTGACATTGCGATCGGACCCCGTCGAATCCTTCACATCCGTCAACGTCGTGAGACTTATGCACAGAGGAACGAAAGGACTCGACTACGCGCGCTCTTGCGGAGAAGATCCGGCCAACGCTGTCGCAGAGGTAACGCGTTTCATGTACCGGTGCGAGTAGCAGATCAACGGCTGTAGCTACGAAGCTAAGGATGAGGTCTCGCGGGATTTACACCAGGTTTCCTGCAAGCTCGTCGTTTCCCGCGCAGAATCTACTCGAGAGCTTAAGAAGAATTCGAAGGCACTAGCTGAAAAGAAAACTTTCTGTTGTTCTGTTGTGGGGTGCAAAGCCGTGTATAATGCTTAGAGAGAACTTGACACACAGACTAAAGACAAGCACACAGGTGTCAAGTGCTTTGCAGCTGGATTCCAATGAAAGCAGATCTACTTTGGTGAGCACACACTCCTTAAGCATGTCAATGAGGCTCATCCCTCCAAGGGCCGCCCGCACCGGACAATCTCTGATCAAAAAGTGGCCATGTTCGATTGTCCAATCAAGAGATGCGACTAATGCTTTACTGTGTACAGTGGGGAATATGGCTTCATACGGTTTCGTCGAAGGTAGACTCAATTGACATGTAGTCTTACAGAATACGATGCTTTAAGAACTGAGTACAGAAGTTTAACGCGTATAAAGTAAGAGGGAGACAACAGCGGGGTCGCAATAAACGCTCACGTACAACTAGGCAATTTGGAAACTACATTTGACCTTACATTACTCTATTTTGATGGAACTATTGATCAATCTTGTAAATAGCCTTGCGGCTATCGTCCCATTGGGCACTCAACTTGCCGGAACACCTATATCAACACTCGATGTACGTCAGATCCGTAAGCTCACCCATAGTATGGTGATGATGTTGATCCTGACACTTTCAACACATTTTTAACACACTCAAATACAAGCTCTTGTTACTCCTCGTACACTTGTATCCAGCATGTCGTACCCTAGCCACCCGTACTACCTTCTCGAGCACCTCGTGCGCAACGTGCTGCCAGAGAGGTGCCGCAAGGCGGCCACTCAAGCCTACTATGAGCGGCCATACCCTTCACCCTTCCGACACCTCCAACCGGCAGATGATTGTCCAGCGGATGCCTCTGATCGTTGAAACCTACTATGGATTCTTCGCACTGGCACCACTTCCTAGGAAACAAAACCACTGCGTTTTGTTCGCCAGGCGGTGCTAAAGGCTTGTCCTTTAGGAGAATACTATGGGAACGTCTCACGGGTACTCTTTGTATTGGCATCAATCCTTGGTCCCTCGGAACCTAACGATTTTGTTTGTCAAGTGTTGCTGAAGGCCTGTTCTTCAGGTTAATACTTTGATAACCTCTCACAGGTGTTCTTTGTATTAGCGTCAAATCCTGTCTCTCAAGACCTCACGGTCTTGTTTAACAGGCGTTGCTGGAGGTTAAATAGATAGACTTTATATATTTGTTTTGTTATTATTTATATACTTCTAAGTTAGGAATTAAAAACTTATAGGCTAAAGATAAAATTAACTTATACCTCTGTGTTAAACTGCCCTTTTAGACTATATCTATGCGTTATAGCAAAGAAGAAAACAAAAAGATCTAGCTAGCGCAAGACTTGAACGCTGGGCACTTTGAAAAAGCCAAAACCGAACAAATAGAAACACCAAAAAAATGGTAGCTTCTCTTTGATTGAGCGTGTCATCCTTAGTGCAGGGGCCATGCTAATCTTCTCTGTATCGTTTCAATTGACCAAATGTCCGAAGACAGAGACTGGAACAAATTTTGCATATATATATTAAGTTACAACGGTACCGAGGGATTTGTTCAGCTTCCGCTGCAAAGCACGGCATGCTGTCTCTAGCGCTGCGCTAGCGTGATCGGCTTATCGATAGCCACGTGGAGTCCATGCGAGCCTAAGTCCAGGCTATCACGTTGCAGCACAAATGGCGGACCAAGGACATAAGCCACACTGTTTCAAATGCAATATTAACATCGAATAGTTACCGATTGACCATAGGCCGGACGACGAAGATTGCACGGCCCCTGCACCAAGGATGACACGCTCAATCAAAGAGAAGCTACCATTTTTTGGTGTTTCTATTTGTTCGGTTTTGGCTTGACTGACGTCAAGCCAGGTTGATTGTCCACCCGGGCATCTTCGAGTGTTCATGATCACTTCTATTGAGTAAGCACAGTGGAGGGTTAATTTGTTGCAGGGCTGGGCGATATTTTATGTTCAAACATCTTCCAATTCCCTATCATAAGGTTGTACATCCTCTTATCGGGTATTGGTTGACTAACAAGACCCTCGTCTGAGTAGATTTAGCTGGGCACCAACAACTGATAGCCTACTTTATCAGCAACATCAGAAGTACCCTGGTAAAGCTAAAGAACGTGTACATATTCGGAGAACATCCACGGCGATGCGGGCTCTCTAGTCGGTGCTCTTCTACAAGACCTTCTCGCATCTCCTACGTCTTCGCAGATTTGTTCCGCGATTTTACAAGTCAACAACCGAATCTCAATACTGCACTTCTCTGGTCCTTTGGCATGGCTATTTTATGTATACGTTAATGATGTCCGTTGTATTGCGAGGATGTGCTTGTACAGTATGGGCATACTCCGAACTCATCGCATGTTGAATACCAGCTTCTTCCTTCAAGTTCAGCAATGTTACCCTGTCAAGGTTTGTGGAGGCCTCAGGTCGTAAGCGGTTTGTGATAGTGAGGTGCATGGCCAGCGGAACTCAACGAGCTTTCAGCAGATGCCAGTCTGGCTTCAGCTAAATGAAGGGAGTCAGAACACTCGGTCTGCGTCGTATGTCGTCCTCGTTCGAGCCATCCGCAACGATTTCGAGTACTGACCTTGAAGGACGAGTGAACTTGGTTGAGCAAGGCACCATCAGGTTGTGATCCTGTTTCAAAAGGGACATATGAACGGCTCAGCCTCACTCTTGACCTTCCGCATTCCGGCGAGATGTATGCTGTAGGCTTTACGATCCTCTTTTGAATCACAAGCAGACATGTGAAAGCCCCACAAAATGAGACGCATGTTTGAATTCTTTAGATTCTCTCATTGACCAAAAACAGTTGCCTATAGTTGTCTCATAATCCTTCGCCATGTAACCTGACCACGCTCGTAAGCAGACAATTCACCCTCCGCCGTTACCACCACTCTCCAGAATACCAATGACGAGATCAATCAGGGTATGCCTTTTCTCCTTCTCCGCTCTCGCCATGCATAGAACCGTCGCAACGATAAGCTGGTACATAATACCCTTCTTCAAATCTGCAATTTTGTCTTCTTCATGCTCATCATTGTTCCCCGCACCCGTCAGGTTACTCCCGAGCAGACTCGGCATGTGCTCCTCCACGAATCTCAACACCACACAATCAAAAACCTCAAGCGTTCCACTCTTCTCGGCTGCGATCGAGGACGTGTATCTCGCCAGACAGACTTCTTTTGTGCCTCTGTCATTCCTGCCTTTCGCAATGAGTTTGAGATGGCAGAATCTGAGCATCCATCCGCATCTGCGCCCCTCGCTCACCGTACTTGTACCTCTCCATTGAAACTCAATGCTGCGAAAATGAAATGTGTACACTCGGGTAGAGCGCGAGAGAGGTCGGGTCCAGCTGAGCTTCACAGCTTCATCGGCACGTAATATCTCGACTTTGCCACCAGACTTGTCATCAACATCTGGATCATCGAAAATATCTCCAGCTGTGCGTTTGTCGCGGAGAGTGTGAACATAGGACTTGCCCGTCTCGCCCCAGAGTCGCCAACCGCGGACTTTGTAGCCTCTCAGCAATGTACCATCACCGTTGCGCTCATCGTCTTGGAGAGCGCGCTTCGAGCCACCGTTGTGGCGCCAGCTCACGACGCCACGCGGATCGATGACGCCGGGGAATGCGAGAGAGGGACCCAGTTGGATCCTGTATGAGCGCCAGAAACAACCTGCATGCACCAGCGCCACAGGCTTGCTCGGTGCATACCTATCACTGCCAACATAAAGTACTGAAGGGGGAAGGTGGAAGGAGAGATAAGACGTGTGCATGAAATACGAATCCTTGTCTGCTGGGCCTGAGAGTGGTAATGTGGGAAGCACGCAAGTTTCATTGACCCCGATGGGCAACAAAGGGATTCGACTGGCTTCACGCAGCTTCTTTGCAGCCTTCTTAGCGACACGACGCGTCTTTTGTTCTTTCGGCTTAGGACCCCAGCGTCGCTCTTGAGAAAGCGAGAGCGTGGGTGTAATCGATATGTGACCACAGTCGCGCTCAAAGTAGATGTGCAGCACCGTTCTGCTTTCGTTTGCCGTACTCTTCTCAGTATCTTCAGTTGGCATGCGTGTTATGTCGACTTTGATGATGGGATCTGATTGGGTGGGAGATGTCTTTTCAGCCAGCTTTCCAGCTGTGGTCTCGGGTTCGGTGGCAGTTCCCATACTGGCGAACATGCCATAGCTATCTCATGGAATATGTTCTGTTCAGGAAGGGTCGTGCGTTTTTTGCGGTGTTCTTAAGATGAGTTAGCTCTACGAGGTCAGGCGCCAAAGTAGCTCAGCCTCCATGCTGCACATCGCTTTGCTCGCATTATGCGGTGCACCAATTAGATATCGGCTTCAGAGTGGTGATTGGACAGCGGTCCAGGAATCGCGGCTGTGCTGTCAAAAGTAAGTGCAAGGCAGCAATGAGGCAGATTTCTATGATGTGGGAACGCCTGGCTATTGTCAGTTCTGAAATACTGGTAGAATTAGGAGTGTTCTCATGTTGCAGGAAAAACGACGGACTGAGTGTGCAAACCAGATCTTCTCCTACGCGACATTAATGTAGAGAGAACGCACAAAAACTCTCTAGAATGCTTCTTTGCCTACAATATAAGTAATGCTTGCCTGATTTCTAGCTTCAGGTGTTTTAATATCTACAATGTCTATATCCAAGTTGGTCAGCTTAGAGGCCGCTTATCCGCCGTTTTCTACAACTTAAAAGGTTGTGTTTGGTGGATCCAGAAAGCGTAATATCTGAGAGGATCACTACCTGAGCCCTCGAGACTTGTTCAGAGATCGATCTGTTGGGCTGATACAAATTGCATGTAGAGACGTACACCGAGGAGTCCACCTAAAGAGTCACCTAGTGCCCTTGCTTCTATGATGCCCGTGGCATTCCCAGTCTTGTTGTTAGTAAGGACTTGGGCATCTTGCCGCTTTCTGAACCAATGCCAGGACCGACCATCGTGCAGCAAACTATCACAATCGAGATATGTAGTTCACCGTTTCAGCACTTGATTGCTTCAAAGTCCTCGGGGGGAAAGTGGTTGGCTCTACTGGCTATCCAAGACCCTTTTGGCACCATCAGCAATGCGCTTGACCTCATCGTGACCCCTCTTTACAACTTCTTCCATGCGCTTCTTCGCCTTTTGAATATCGTCTGGGCGCACCTCTTTGTTGAGATCGTACTTTCTGACCAGCTTATTATGGTCCTGTCGGGCGCGCTGAACCATAGCATCAGCCTTCTCCGCAGCCTTTCTCGCCGACTCGATTGCTTCTCGTCGCGTATCGCCCGTCGGCGGCGGGAGGGGCACTTGGATGGTAAGAGGATTGTTCTGATCGGGCGCAAGTGGAGTGAGGGAATGGGGTGAAGCAGCAATGGCGGTTGTAATAGGTTTGATGTGCTGTGGGTGGTCAGCGCGCGCTTACTCGTTGTTGCTTTATGTACTGACTGCATCGTCCCCGCATATCACGTTCAGCACTCGTCCCCTAGGGACTACTTGCGCTATGTCGCCCAATCGCACGGCCTCCTTGCCCTGTGCTGTTGTACCAAGCTGCACCTTCAAGCTCTCGACGATGTCAGGGTTCAGCCGTCCTCCACTTCGAAGCTGGGCCAGGTCGTGTGTGAGTTTCTCGATGGCCTTCAAGATGGAGGACTCGAGCTCAGACATGTCATAGATCTCATCAGTCGCTGTCGGTCCACCGGCCTGGTTGACAGGCGGGCTGGAGTCTGTCTTTGCATGCGACTTGTTGGCTTTCCCTGCCTTCTTCAATAGCGGGGGGTATTTGGAAAAGTTCCTTAGCTTTGGGCCACATAGTGTTGTCGAGGCATGGAAAGCACAGCTGGTGGTGTGAGCAATGGACGCTTCGAAGAGGCAACGGCAAGAGCTCACAGATTATGGCATGGCGACTCAATGGCTCTCGTAGACACACCCAACAAGCTTCTGGAGCTCAAGCGGAGGGCCACACGTGGTGCAATTGACTGCGACATTGCGTTGGTGTTCCCAAAAACCGAGGATGGCAAATGAAGCGCGTCAACGCGCACTGGCCAGCAAGACCAGGCTCCACTTTGCACACGCGATCGCGAACGTCATCGCGCAGGCGTCGAGAACACAAAACAGATTGGAGCGCCCAGTTGCGCGGTGTGAACGTGAGTATCACCAGCATCGGTCTTTAAATCATATAAAGCTGGCCTTTCTTGATGTGCAATACCTAGACTCCAAGTCTCCAAGCAGCGCTTCAGCGACCAGACGCGTTGTAGACCGTACCTGGCGTTGATAACCACAACCACCAAAGACAAAGTGCGTAGGCTTACTCAAGGCAGAGCTTCAAACGCGGGGACTCCGGGCATACCCCAGATTCTTGAAACATTGTGCCGCCGCTTGGGGAAATGCGACACTTGGCCCATGTTGCCTTTGCCTCGCCTTTGCCTCGCCTCGCCCTTGCACTACCACAGTTGCTTACCTCAGACACATGTTCAAAGGCCACTAAATATGTGTCCTATGCGATGCTGACCGGAGAGCTTCTTGGAGCGGTGGGTGGGTTGCAATCAAGGCATCCCGCACCACAAGCCACCGCCGATCACCGGTGGTTGAACGCCCTCGCGGAACTGCGGAACTGGACGGTGCTTGTTGCACGTTCGAAACATCGCTTCGGTACGTGAACAGGGAGTAAGGCCGATTCTTAGTGTCGATGCTATCTACTATGTAAATCGATGTGCCGGTTCTTCGCTGTTCGCGGTGCTGTCCAAGGGAGGTGCAAGACAGCCGCTGATCTTGACTGCAGTAAGCGTAATGACAGCACGCCGTGGTCCGACGAACCGCCTTCGTTGCAGTGAGCGCCGAGTCACCCATACTATTGGGCCGTCACTCATTTCACCTCGCATGGGCTGCGGCTTGCAACGTCAGCCTTGAAGCGTCGTGTGTTGGATCAAACGAGAAGTGACCCTGGACACCGACTCTCTTTAACTCACCGTCCTTCTGCGCAACCATAAGCATTGCAAAATCCTGCTCTGCGTTCCACGACTCTCCGGCTCTTGATCACACTCCGATTAGATATCTTTCCTTTATTGCTATGTAATCGTCTTTCTGGTTTCTGATCTTCTCAACTCAACCTGAGATGTGACACATAGGCCATGGCTCCCCTCGCCTTCCTCAATTCTTGGGCTTTATATAAGCGCATCGCAGAACCAACGCCAGAACCTTCGACACGAACATCACCGCCAACACGAAACAGCCTGTCCACAGAAGGGGGGTTCTTGGAAGCCTGGGCGCAGGGTTATAATGTGGGAAGCCTTGTTATTTTGATACTGATTGTCTTCTGCAATTATCGATCTGGTATCTGGCTGCACAAACTCATATTACTTGAGGTGAGGATCGGTAATGACGTGCGGGTCGCTCGGAAGGCTGACATCTTGCAGCTCGTTCTCGCACTCTGGCACGGAACCTTCATATTTGTGGAAGACCCTTACTATGGCTGGTATCTCTCAGCGACAGCAACCCTGCTGTTCATCTCGTACTTTCTGCATAATGTCGTCGCTTGGCTCAAGATTCGACCATTTCTTCCCATCTGGGGTTCACGGTTGTTCATCATCTCACTCCTTTGTGTTCAGCCTTTCTGGGTTGCTGAAGCTTGGTCCAACTTTTCGTATTTCAATGGTCTCGGTTCTGATGCGAACGTCCGAATGCGGCCGTGGGAAGCTCTTGTGCGCGACCCGTGGTGGATCTTCACGACTTGGAAACTGATTGATGCGATCAAGAAGACATATGGTTTCAAGATTTGGTCACTCATCCGGATCAACTCGAGGTTCGGAATCATGTTGCTCTGCATGGTACGCTCTGGAATTTTCGGACTCTGATCTCGCATGCTGACACACGACAACAGTTTCTCTCTATAGCCTTTCTTCTCACAGATGCTGCGGTTTCTGCCGCTCGTGTCACGACTAGCAGTGGCATCAACCCATACTGGCGCTTCGCCCTCGTCTTCAAATGCGCCTCTGACACGATCTTTCTCGACGACTTCAAATCTGTCCTTGACGATATTGTCCATCGTAAATTTAGCTCTGCAAACGGCACTGTGCATCGCGGCTCTAGTGTTGGTTTGAGTAGCGGTCACGACGTGCGGAAGCGCTCTTATTCTACTCGCGGAGATGAATTCATCGAATGCACTTCCCTCGAACAGCCACCGAATTTGCCGCAAGTGTCGACACCGGAACCAAGTGCGATAGCATCGCGCTTCCAGAATCCGTTTGCTACGAAGCGGAATAGGGGTAACATTCCAAGAATACATGTTGAGCAGGAGATGTCTCTTGCTTCAGAGAGAAGGCAGACAAGTAATGACAGCGCGCACAGCGAGAGCCTTATGCTACCAAAGCCTGCGCACACAGTCTATGGTGACGAAGGTAGCGGAGCAAGTGAGAGTGATGGAAGTCTGCTGATTGGCAGGCTAGTATGATAAACTCTGTGACTGGATCTATACTATGTCTGTCTGAAAACCAATGACTGTATGCGCAGGTGAGACAGAGTAGACATGGACAAGTGCGAATGATATTTCTATGTTGCCATGTTCCGTGCAAATGCTGCGACAACTACATCAAAGCGAAGCTGGGGGGAAGGACATCACAATCATGCCTTAGCCACCGCCACAGTCTTCGGAGCTAGGAGTACCTCCAGAGAGCTGGCCTCTAGAATCCACTATTAGGTGGTTGTCCTTGCTCCCCATATTTCCAAGTAGAGTTGCTGACAGCTGCTGGAATCATGGGGTGTTTTAAACACTACTCCGACATCCACCTAGGTGATCAATGTGAGCAACATTGTATCACGCTATTCGGAGCACCTATTGGCATGGCAAGGTATGCTTGCTCATCCGTATATAAAATACTGGACTGGTTGGTGCATATTATGGTCGTGCGTATCGACCTCGCGCTTCCTGTTGTCCGCTTTGTTGCAATTTTCCTGTAGGTTAATGGTGCGTCTTTGGTGGTGGGCTCAAATAGAAGCCCTGAGACGGACTAGGGAGGTGAATCAGCTATTCTGCTACGCAATTGCTAACAGCAAAGTAGATGGGATATATTGAAATCCTACAGAACACTTTGCCAAAAATATAGGTAATACTTGACTGAGTTTCAGCTTCATGTACTACTATAGATTCACCTTACTCAGTCCTGTAGTATCCTCTATCTTCTACTTCCTCATCTTCTTCGTTTCCTACTTCCTCGTCCGTTCCCTCGTGCTCCTCATCAAAAATCATGCCGTGCAGACCCTCCCTCTCATCACCTATGAGCGGCGCCCTCTCGCCCTCCTTCCTTGAGAAGTGCCCGCCAAGGCTGATCGCTAGTGTACTGAGGCCATGGAACAGCGTACTTCCTAGGACGATGAAACAAACGATCGGCCAGACGAGTGTGATGACCCTCTGCCGCTGAGGATCCAAGTCATCGGGGGGATGCGGTAGCGGCAGCGAGGTGTCTGTCTCAAGCTGAGCGCGTGCTTCGATTGCTAGGAATAGTGCGCCAACACCCATAGGTCCGAAATGTCCGATGAATAGGGCCTCCGTCGTTGTACGAACGTGAGGGAGCAATTTTGCCTTGTAGAACATGAACACAACAGGTATGCGGCGGAAGATGAGAATCAGTGCCAGTAGACCTAGCAGTCTGCCGGGGGTGATTGCGTCAACCTTGTTGAACGACGCCCAGGGAATCATGGCGCCGAAGAAGACAAAGAGTGCCGAGTTGAGCATCAGATCGATAACAACTGGAAGCCGGGTGTCCGCCGTTGGAGCATTGCCGCCGTGCGCAAATCCTCTCCCAGCGCAGAATGCGACGAGGAAGTCATCAACACCGAGTGTCGACGCGAGACCAATGGAGAAGACAGCCAGGAGGAGGTAGAACGCCAGATAAGATGCTCGACCCATCATCTCGCGCGTATGAGAAATGTGATAGAGCGAATTGAAGACGTGTCCAAGGATGATTCCGATGATAACGCCAACTGTGCATTGATACAGAACCGTGATAAGAAACCACTCCTTGAGTACCTCGCCTCGGGAAGCTTTCATCACAATGTTGAGACCCATAAACAGGAACGGAAACGATACACCATCGTTTACGCCACTCTCGGCGCTCAAGAGGTCTCTGATGCGCTTCGGTACTCGAGTACTGAACTGGCTGTTTGACAGGACCGACGCCGCCAGAACAGGATCCGTCGGCGTGAGGCAGGCGGAGATAGTCAATGCAGACGCAAAGTCAATGTCGAAGATGAGCATAATGAAAAGCGCGCCTATAAGCCATCCAAAGGTCATGACAGGGCCGAGCAGGACCAAGAGTGCCTTCCATTTCTTCTTCAGGTAGCCGTTGGGTAGTTCCAGACCGACAGCGAAGCACTGAACGCCAACAACGATGCGAGTGAATTCCTGGATAAGGGGATCCTGGAAACCCCACTCGTATGGCTTCAACCACCCGAGGCCTCGCGGTCCAACCAGAATTCCGAAGATTGTGGCCAGAGGTGGTTCGGATAGATGGAGCCTGTTCCTGATCATGAGCGAGAAGAGAGCATACATCATCAGAAATGACGTGAGGACCAAGTACGACACGTGCGGCCCTGTCGGCTCGAGTTGCGACCACATGGCGATATTGGCTGGTCGTGACAACAAAGTGTAAAAGAAGGACAGGATCTATGTGCGTTTCTAGCAGGACAATGCAGCCGTGGAAATCGACGCGAGTCGAAGACGTGCAAGGCGAAAATCAGGTGGCGATCATCATGACGGTGCGTAAGAGTTTGACAGCGGTGAGAGACTGCACAAAGATATGTGTACGAACGATTAAGCATTTCTCGCAATGGCGATCATGGATTTTGATGACGGCATGACCCGATGCGGCAGCGACGCTAGCAAACGTTCCACTCGATCGGGTCTACTCTATGCAGAACGTGGCTCTCGTGGTGCTGGAAACGTGGGCTACACTACAGTTGGTCTGTACATGTAGCGGAGGCATGAACGGCATGTCGCCGTGGATGAGTGTGTGCATGTATATTAAGAAGTCGCTGCATGTATAGCACGTGACTGCGTGATTGCTACCTTTTTGTATCAAAGCGCCATGCTTTCGCAACCTAGCAAGCCCCCAAACGCCCGACCGCCGATGATGCAACTTAGTCTGCTCGTGACTATACGGATGATGTGATTAGAAATACATGATGAGAATCCAATCGAACGAATGCAATGCAAAGGAGGATGTGACTATATGTCGTCCGGGGGAGAGTTGAAAAAGGAAACTCGTAATCTATGCAGCTGTGGAAGGGTTAGCCAACGCATACTGGCGGGCTTGGGGCTTGAGGCTTGTGAACATACCGATGGCAGCTTGGGAATGACGACAGCTATGGTGGCCAAGCAATTGACAATGAAATAGGTGCTGTCGTAGTGTGTGTAGTGTGTGCTGACGAGGAATAGCGCGATGGGCACGAAGAGGAGGAACTTCTTTGCTGGGGTGTACTGGTCGCCGTTGTCAATCTGCTCCCACATGTTGAGGTTGTCGTAGGCACCCGAATTGAAGTCGAAGGGCACGCCGCGGACGTAGTGGAACATGAGGTAGGATCCGGCCATGTACGACAGATTGACCAGGGTCCAGGACGTCTCCTGCGACATGCCGGGGATGATGTCAAAGAGGATCTTGCCGATGAAGATCAGGACAAAGTGGATTGCCCAGGCGCCTGCGTGCGTCTTGTCAGCCGTGGTGGTCGGGGGTGCGGACAGCACTACGTGGCCAGTGTCGGGCCTGCATGGGACACTCAGCACTCACCCTTGGCGTTGACCCATTCGGCATTCAGATTGGGCAGGGCGGCCTGGTCGCTCAGCTGCTCGAGCGACTCGGGCGGCTCCTTGTAGACAAGACTACTGCTACGCCGCCTCCGGGCCTCCTTTGCCTCGAGGGACATGCTGGCGGCGCTGTACGAGGAGGCGCGGTCGGGGCTCAGTCGGTGGGGCCGCGGGTCGCCGGCGAAGCTCAGGCGCGAGGTGCGGTTGAGGAGTATGGGCGACAGTTTGGCGGTAGTGGCGGGCGCTGGGGGCGGGGCGAGGCTGTTCGCGCGGACGACTGCGGCAGCGGGACGTCTGCGGCCGTCAGCAGCGGCGGGCGAGGCGGGCGTCGGGGCTTACCGTGCACGGCGGGAGACGGGCGGGGCGGGGCGAGCGAGCGGCGCAGGGGACGGCGGAATGGCGAGGCAGAGGCGGGCGCAGAGAGAGAGGCGGCGGGAAGGCAGCAGCGGGATCTCTCCTGTGAAGGGTCGCGGGCTGGAAAGGACGACTCGGAGCTACGCGCGCACGGCCGCCGTGCCGCGACCAGACTCCGACCAGCACTCGGCGAGCCACCGCACCACACAGCCGCGCACCAGCGCACCTCCCAGCGCCGTCGCCGCACCCTCGCCCCGGCACCACCGCCCTCCCAGACGACAGCATGGCGACCGAGGCGCCCCCGCCCGAAGTCGCTCAGCCCGCGCCCGAGCCCGCCGCCGACGCGAAGCCGCCCGTGAAGCGGTCGTGGAGGTAGGAGAGGACAGCGCCCGACGGGCAGACGGGCCCAGCTGACGCAGCGCAGGCGCAAGTACCGCAAGATGCGCATCCGCTTCGACAACGCGATGCAGCAGAGCAGCGCGCTGATCATGGAGGAGTGGAAGGCCATGGGCGTCGCGCGCCGCCTGCAGGCCGAGAACGACCAGCTGCTCGACGCCCTGCTGGACTTCAACAACCAGCCACGCGTGCCGCCGCGCCAGCGCTTCGACCTCGCCGGCGCGAGTGCCGCGAGTGCAGCAGGTGCAGCCAGCGCCGACCCCGCCGTGCGTAGCCAGCCCAGCGCGCGCCCGTTGTCCTGACCCATACTGACACCGCCCAGCACCCGCCCGCGCCTCAGCCTGCGACACTTGGCCTCAGCAGCGCCGCCAGCGCCGACCAGCACGCCCCGCCTGCCGCGCACGCCGCCGCCCCGCCTGCCCTGCCGCGCTCGCTCGCCAGCCTCGAGGCCACCGTCCCCCACACCGCCGTCGCCGCCGTCGCCGCCCTCCCCGACGGCATCGACCTCAGCGAGCACGCGCCGGGCTACATGTCCACCCAGCACGAGGAGGACTATTTGCTCGCCCTCGACCAGCTGCTCGACGACCCGGCCTTCGAGCCTGCCACCTCGCACCACCGCACATTCCACCTCGGCCCCTCGCAGCCGCCCCTGAGCGAGAAGGACCTCACCATCCGCAACCCGGACAGCGTCTACAACTGGCTGCGTAAGAACCAGCCGCAGGTCTTCCTCCAGGACAAGGACGCCCCGCACCACGACAACGCCTCTGAAAAGGCTGCTCCCAAGGGCGCCAGCAAGAAGAGCCGCCCTTCGAACGTCGGAGGCGGCGGCGGCACCCCAGGCCCCAAGGACGACCATGACGGCGAGGACTCTGCCGCGCCCGAGGGCAAAGCCAAGGGCAAGAAGAGTGCCGCCGACCCCGACGACACGGCCTACCGGCCCAAGGGCGGCAGCAGTCGGCCCGCCAAGCGCAAGAGGGATGCCGGTGAGGGCGAGGCTAAGGGTGCTCGCAAGAAGAACCGGCCTAGCACGGCAGCAGCGCCGCCCCAGGCAGGGTAGCTTGCTGTCATGACACATCTGCTTTGTATTACTACATGGGAAACCGGCGTACGTGGGTCTGATAGATACCCTTGGGACATGCTTTACAGCTGCGGCTGCGCTGTATAATAGTCATCGATGTCAAAGGAACATTGAACCGTGAGAATCTGAATAATGCTACATGCTTCTCTATGCTATGCCCGTCAGGAATTCGCCCGACTTGCCCTGGTATGATACAGTAATCCACACTTTGTCCCTACAGCCTCTCCTGACTCTACTTCCGCCTCGGCGCCGCAACCAGGACGGGCTCTGCCTGCTCCGCAAACGGCAGGCTTGTGTCGACGATGGTCTGTCCATCGATCAGTAGCCCGTTGCCCACCTTCTCGTCCTGCAGCCTTGCTGTCTCTGCCCGCTTTGCTGCAAGATAGTGCTTCCTCTCCTCCGTCAGAATCCACTCCTTGGGGAACTGATGCCGCGTCTTCGGCTTGTGGTGGCGGAAATCAAACGGCACGTCTTCAAACGTGTCTGTGGCGTCCTTTGCCTCGGCAATCAGCGACTGGATGGTTTCGCCCACGAAGCGCTTGTTCTGCGTCTGTGAGTCGAATTGCTCGGCGGAGAGCTTGACGAGGTCCGACGAGGGGTTGTAGCGCGGCCCGGACAGCTTAATCAGTTTGGCGCGCTGAAGCTCGGTGAGACCCAGGTCCGAGGGCGAGAACTCGACAACCACCTTGTTGGCAGCCGGGTGCGATTCGCCCAGGTACGAGGTGTAGCGGAAGCGGAAGGGGGTTGCTGCTGTGGGGGGCTCGAAGGGGCGCGCGAGTTCTGTCACACGTCAGCAGATGAAATGGGACATGGTCATCGATGGGAGACGTACGGTGAAGCAGAGGCATCTCCCACGCAATCAATCGCGCGTATGCCCTTAGGTGCCTGTGCGACCGCAGCTGTGCATGTCCATCACGAGTAAGGTCGTCGCCGTAGTAGTCCTCGTCAGCGCCCATCGACTCTTCTCCTTCAGCCCAGAAACCTTGCTTGACGGCACGTGCCTCGTCGCGCGTCATTTGAAAGTCTTCTTCCGTCTCTAAATTAAATTCGCTCGCAAGTGGCCAGCCGTCCTTGCCCTTGCGAGCGGCATCCTTAGCGATTGCAGGATCCATCTGTCTGAAATCCTCGGCAAGCTTCCGCAGCTGCGCAGTCGTCTCCTCCGGCGTGTGGGTCACGGGCTTCGCAGGCTTCGCGGGTGCTTGGGGCGGCTCGTCTTCTCTGTTTCTTGCAGATCGACCGGGTGTGGTGGAGAACGGTCGTTGCCATTGGGACACGCATTTCGGAGTCGATCGCGGTGCCGTCGAGGACGGGCAGCGGCGCGACTGCAGCAGCAGCCTCCTTGTTACTGACGCCATGCTGCTGGATATGGGGATGGCGTCGTGAACTTTTCGCGGCGTCGCACTCTGAACCGATTCCTTGGCGTCTGTGCCACGAGCCAATGCGAGGCGGTTGCGTCCGACCTCCGCCCTGCATCTCCCCGCGCGAGCATCTGGACGACGAGTGGCAGCGCTCTTCATCTGGCTCGTGGGTGGCACGCTGTGATTCTTGATTGAACATCCAAAGCAAGGCCAACATGGCTGCAGCGACCTCAAACTCGAAGCTGTGCTTCGTCACCACGGGCGCAACAGCACCCTTCGAAGCCCTGATCGAGTCTGTTCTGAGTCCTTCGTCGTTGGACGCACTGCTGGAAAGCGGCTACACGCATCTGCTGGTGCAGTATGGCTCTGCTGAGGATGTCTACACCGATGCAGCAACCATCGCTCGCTCACACGTCCATGATAAATTGACCATCGATGGCCTCGACTTCAATCCAGACGGACTTCAGGCACAACTCAAACTAGTGCAGCAGTCCAACGGCTTGACGATATCACACGCTGGATCCGGGTCCATCCTCGAGGTACTTCGTTACCAGATCCCGTTGGTTGTTGTGCCCAACACCAGTCTCCTTGATAATCATCAGGAAGAGCTCGCTGTCGCCATGGAGCGTTCAGGGTATCTGCTACGAGGCTACGTTGAGTATGTATCTCTCAATCACGAGGCAGGCTTCAGAAGCTAACAATCTGATGAAGAGACCTGGGTCCGACCATTCGACAGTCGGATGAGTTCCGTACGAAGATGTCTCAATTTCCTCCCATTACTAGTGGGAAGCACAGAGAGACAAAAAGCTTCGCTGCTATCATGGATGAGACCGTAGGTTTTATGGACTGAGGGTATCACCACTCTGTTACAAGCCGGATTGCAGCAGGATCGAGACTCTGCTTTGCCACATACAAACTGCAAGATGTTCATTCGAACCACAGTCAGAGCCATCTCTTTGCACAAGTCCTAAAGTCGGACACGTATGATATGCTCTCAAGGGCTAATCATCCAACACGTATGCCACTGTCGAGTCGCTCGTTGGAACGATTTGAGCTTCTTATCTCAGACAGGAGTATCTATGGGCGTGGTACGTGTGGCGTCGCCGCCTTTGTTTGGTGGAGCCAAGCTCGTGAGGTACGAGCAGAATCAGCAGACGTACCAACGCAACAGAAGCCGAACTGCAACCAACGATATCGCTGCATAAGATCGAGTATTAGTTTGGATATCTTGTTGCCTACTTGCTTGACACTGATCCGCCAGAAGTCCAAGGAAAAGATGACTGCGATGTACAAGTCAAGACAAGAGTGGTGTATCAAATCGGCGTGGCGTCATCCTGCATCTCGTACCCGCAGCGGCGTGACAAGCCATATGCTGTATCACTAAGCATCGCTCATCCACAATGTTTGTTGCACGCGCTCTCCGATGCATTGCCAATACTTTCTCGCGTGTCAATATCGCATCAAGCAACGCGGCATAAAATAAGGCTTACGCTTGGACAAAACATTGTCAATGCTAAGCAAATCGCGCTCACAAACCCTGCAATACGACATTGTCGGATTCCATAATCTATCGATATCCCTATGAGATTACTCGTTTTACTGGAAATGTGATCGAGAGGCACGATAAGCGGGATGAGTTTAGCAGGTGCGAGCGAACATGTGCCACTGCCTATGCGCACCAGTGCAGATGCGCAATGGCTTCAGTATCAATCCCAGTAGTCGCGACTACTTGGTCGCCCTGCTGCTTCTCACCCGTTGCACCGTTTGCAGCAGGCACGTTAACTGTCCAGGGCTACTACGCCTTGCGCCAGGTATAACACTGAACCTGGCCGCCACACAAACCTCACGACACCACAGCATCCAGTTTCTTTTGGTCTGCAACAATAGTCCTACGTTTTGGACACTCCGTACCCTCGCCATACCCACGCCCGTCTGCCTTCCGTTCACACCGCAGTTACACCGATAACCCAACATGCGTTACCACCTCACCTTGCCTGCCTTCTTGACAGTTGTGAGTGGTCTCGTTGGAGCAGTCCCATCAAGGTATGTCTTTCTCTACTCGAAGAGACCTCCATAGCGTGTTGACTTGAATAGTATCTCGCACAAAAGAGGCGTCGACTTCAACTGGGGCAGCACGAAAGTTCGCGGCGTGAATTTGGGAGGATGGCTTGTTCTCGAACCGTCAGTCTCCAGAACACTGCTACGTCCTAGGCCTGACATGCTGTAGATTCATCACGCCCTCCATCTTCGAATCTCATAGTACTCCTGACTGGCCTGTCATCGACGAATGGACTCTCTGTGAGAAACTTGGACGTCAGGGCTGCTACGACGCGCTCAAGCCACACTGGGACACCTTTGTTTCTCTCCAAGACTTCGAAAAGATCCGAGACTCTGGCTTCAATGTGGTCCGCATTCCTGTCGGTTATTGGTCTTACGTCGAACCCTGGGGCCCTTACACTCAAGGTGCGGCGCCTTATCTCGATCAAGCTATCACCTGGGCACGTGAGACTGGACTCAAAGTCATCGTCGACCTGCACGGTGCCCCGAAGAGCCAGAATGGATTCGATCATAGCGGCCGGAAGCTGGAAATTCCCGGATGGGGCGATGCGGACAGTCTAGCATACACCCACCAGACGCTTCAGATTCTGAACGAGAAGTACGCGAAGCCCGGTATGCAAGATGTCGTTGTTGCTATTCAACCTGTCAACGAGCCTTTCTTGGTTAAGATCCCGCAAGACACAGTCCGACAGTTCTACCGCGATGCCTTCTACAACCTACGCGGGATTAGCGATACTCCGATTGCCCTGCACGACGGCTTCTTCGATCCGAGTTGGATGAACGGCTTTCTCACGCCGCAAGACAACAACGCGCAAGGTGTCATCGTTGATCATCATCAGTATCAGATATTCGATACCGGGCTTGTCGCAATGGGATTGGAGCAACACCTGAGCATGGCATGCAGTGCTGTAAGTGTACCCTTCCTAATCTCGTCTTGCCGGGCACACCATTGACCATGTATCTACAGGTCGACTCTTATGCTACGTCCGATAAATGGATAATCGTCGGCGAGTGGTCAGGAGCTTTCACCGACTGCGCTAAACACCTTAACGGCTTTGCAGCAGGCTCGCGCATGGAAGGTAGTTACAGCGGCGCATCCTACATCGGCTCCTGTGACGGCAAATCTGGACGAGTTGACTCGTGGTCTCAAGACTGGAAAGACAGTGTGCGCAAGTACATCGAGGTCCAATTGGATGCCTTTGAAGCCCGTACACAAGGCTGGGTTTTCTGGAATTTCAAGACCGAGGGCAGCGCAGGAGAATGGGATGTCTTCCAACTGCTCGATGGTGGCGTCTTCCCGCAACCACTTGAAGATCGCAAGTTTGGCAAGTACTGCACAAACTTCTAAGGCGAAGGTGGGCGATTGTGACTAGGTGTCTTGTCTGCTTCATGAGAGGGGGTGGATAATGATGATGGACTACATCCACGACAACGGCATGGTATGTGTATGTATAGGTATATTTGCGTTGCACAGGCAGTGTTTTTGAAGTAGTTTCTATGGCTTTCTCAGATTCAGTGTACATTTCAGTCGTCTAACTCAAACGTTGCTCAAGTGGTTGCCGAGATTCTTTTTTGACTTTGCGTCCGGAAGCTCAAACCCTGACTGCTGGCCACAACTTTCAGAAGCTCATAACATTAGTCTCCAGGAAGATTGTTAGCAACAAACACGCAGTGATTTCCCCACAGCGTTTGTCGGTAAATGTGGCAGCACTAGACATGCCCCATTCAACGCTATTGTGCCACGGTCAAAGTAACATGCATTGTATTTCGTGTTGTTTATCAAGAATATAGAGATGGAAATAGGGTGACCCGATAGATGCTCGTTCTTGGTGATAATCTCCATTGTTGGCTTAGGCACACCCCTCAATGCCGTACGAGTATCCAGTGTTTGCACCACTAGTCCACGAGCTCCACGATATCACCAAACTCTTGAAACAACCAGGGCTGGAGGTCTTCGAAGCCATCTGGGACTTGCTTAGTGTCCATAGTCTTCGGTTGAACGGGCTGTGCTGGGGTCCTGGAGGCGACAAGAGTCTTGTTTGTAGATATTGGAATGTCTAGAAGAGAGGCTAGGCCGCTGTATACGTTTTCTTGGTTACTGTCCGCCTTCAAAACTGGGACAGGTCGGGGAGGCCTTATTGTGCTCGGCTGTGGCCCTCGGACTTGCTTGTCCTGCGGAAGTGAGGGTGCCAGCTTGAAGTGTATGGTCTGCTCAGGACTGCTTGTTGCCTCAACAAAAGGAGCCTGGATCCTCAGCGGCTTCGCTTGGCGATCTTCATGGATTGATGCTCGAAAAAGATGTTCTGGCAGGTCGGAGTTCGAGTTTTCAGTAGCGGCAAAGTCGAAGTCCACAGGGAAGTCCACATCGGCGTATTCCTCTCTCCTATTGATAGCATCATGTGTCTCATCCTGCATGCCCGAGGTCTTTGTGACATTTGTTCGTTGCAAATCTTGAGAATCTGCGAGACCGACAATTGCCTCGCTGAACATTGAGTCATCATCTCCAAACGTTTCTGAGCCGCGCGAAGTGACAGGCGCTTTATCAGAGAAATGCAGCGAGGTTTCTGAATTAGGAAGGTTACGTCGATCGAGGGCAGGAGAGGGCGTGGTAGCAAACTCGTCAAATTCGAGATCGCCGTATTCGCTCGAAGTCTTTGGCCGCCCGGGGATTGGCTGTGTGAGGAAAGACAACTGATACTCTCCGCCTTCACCATAGTGAAATTCGGGTTTCCTATGCATAACTGAGTGAAGTGATGATGGAATAGACTTCTTCTGCACACGCTGATGGAGATTGTGCAAGTCACGATAATCATGCGGCCCGCTGGCGCCGTACTCCTTCTTCCGCTTTTTCTCTTGTTGAGTCAAGTCGAGCTCTTCGATTGCGGCTGAGTTCTTTCGTTTTGAGGCTGTAAGTTGCAGTTTAGTCTGGAACTTATTGCACTCCTGCACAGAGCTGTCAGACGGTCGCTGCTCGTGGTGATCGTTTGTTAAGCGCTTGGACCCAGCTTTCTTGGGCGGTCTGTCCATGCCATGTTTACAACAATAGTGCTTGCAGGTTCCCTTGTCTTTGCATTTGTGATTACATGACCACCTGCCGTTGGGAAGCTGAACAGGTGTGGGATCTTCATCGTTCTCTGTAGAAATGATGGCAGATGCTGCGCGGCCTTTCACCTGTGCTGCTTTTTGCTTTGAGTTGTCGGTGCGAGCTGAAGCGTTTGTTGCCTCCGCGAAGTTATCGATGTGTTCAAAAAAGAGAGCTCCATCTGTAGCTCCGACCAAGGCGTCATCATCGATGTCAGCGTCGCCGAAATCGTCACTAGCAGATGATCTCTTTCGTTGAACTGGAGTATTTTCGAGGCGGCGCCTGGAGATATTCGGTTTTTGAGTCGACGCAGACTCCGCCGCCTTAGTGACTTGAGGTGGAAACAGCGAAGGTGCAAGCCTTGGTGCGATAGTCGCATCTCGCATGCTTCCCGCTAAGAGATAATCAGTAGGATTTTGGAAGTAGAAAGTCCACATACCAATGCCTTCGCACATGAGATAGCAGTTAATGCTCTGTTCTACACTGGTCAAAAGCGCTGGAAAGACCAGACTCTGCCCTGCACTGAGCTTCGAGCCACTGTATTGTTAGCATAGCAAGCACTTGGCGGTCAGAAAAACCCACTTGATCCTTGCGAAATGGATCTTGCGCCCATCTGATGTTTCTGCCAGCATGCAAACGTAGATCAGCTTGTTACCGAATTTGACTGGGGCCTTCTCATTGATGAAGCCAATGTCTGCCTTGACTTGAACCTTGACACCCTCAGTCGTCTTCGAAACCTATTCCATCAATTAGTCATGCTGTGAAAGCCTACGTTAGCAGTACTCACAGACGAAGACTGGAGATGGAGAGATACTCGAAGCTTCGGGAAAGACTTCAGGTCGTCCAGAACCTTGAGCCCAAAGGGTGGATTTCTGCCAGCGACTGTGTCAATGCGTCGCGCATCTGTAGCTTCCAGGTCCTCAATACCTCGGATACCAGCATTCACAAATTTCCGAACAGTAACAGCACCTACATTAGGGATTTGAACCATCTGTAAGGGGCTGTCGTCCCAAGCTTTAGAACCCAAACAACGCTCCAGCATCAATGCACTGTGGATGCTGACAGAGTCTCCTAGAACAAGCTGACAGTCTATGACGCATCTGACTAAGCTGTTGATTGACTTGAATATCACCGCCACCTCTTGCGAAAATTGTTGTTTGTGCTTGCTTGCGTCGCCATCCCAGCAGATTTCTGCGTGACCGAGGACTGACTGGATGATAAGTGAAACCTTTTGAGCTGGCAGATCGAGATTAACGGGGATTGGAAATCGAATAGAAGGCGACCTGTTTAGTATCTTGTAGATGCTTTTCTCACCCTGACGAAAACGAATCTTTGAGAACTCGGCAGCTTGAGCGACAGCTGAAAGCTGTACGACTCACTTAGCTGACAATTCTAGCTGGCATACTTTGGGACTTACAATCTCAGATAGAGTTGCCTTGGGTTGTAGGCCCATGATCACTCTCATTGTTTCGAAACGTATGTAGTAGCGTGCCATAGCGTGGCCAAATTCGGTGCATCGGAGATGATCTTCGCCAATGGCTAGATTGTACTCCTTCAAGATAGCAATATCGCGAACACAGATGTCGTCCACTTGTTCCTGTATCTCCTGGCCACTGCGTGATCCTTCGAGTTTGTAGTAGACTGGATTTTGTCGCAGTCGAACGTAAAGAAATGTCCCGGTCAGCCATTTTCTCGCTGAATCGAGGTCTCGAATGGTTCCGAGTCCGATTTCCGCATTCACATGCTCAATGAGATTAAGATGCAATTTGCTCTCTAAGATCTCTTGACCTGTCACCAGGGTCTCATAGCGCCGAACCTTTGTTTGTCGTGTCATGATCACTGCGACGGCACTGTTGTCGAATTGTGGCCGGCCAGCTCGACCAAGCATCTGCATCATGTCGAGGTCCGAATACTCTTGTAGCCCCTCTTGTGACCACGACACCGTGTTCTTGATGATGACAAGGTGGCACGGCAGATTCACCCCGACCGCCAGTGTTGATGTGCAGCAGATGACACTGATGTCGCCTTGCAGGAATCCTTTCTCGACCTTGATGCGGTCGTCCTGGTCAACACCTGCGTGATGGAAAGCGACACCGGCATCAACGAGATCGCGTAGATCTTTATCCTTGATTTGGAGAGCTTGCGACGGAGTATCCCAAAGCCGATCGGGTCCGCTTCTCGTGACCCACCAATTCTTTATAAGCCTTGCTGTGGCGGCGCAAGACTTTCGCGTCGCGCAGAAAATCATCATAGGCTTCCGCTCCGAATACTTTGAGATGATCTCTGGGAGTCTTGCATCAAGCTGTTTTTCAAAGGCCCAGTCGTTGTTGCTATTGCAGACGTAGCCGCAAACATGTTTTCTCAGCTTGACTGGGCGAAACTCCTCTCCGAACCTTTCATTCGGCGCAGGGACGTCAGACTCAAGCGAGTTCCTGCCTAACCAGGTCGCGACATCATGGAAATTTGGGACGGTCGCCGACAGTGCGACGAAACGAACGTCGGTGCTAATGGACTTCATCCGGGATACCACGGCTTCAAGAACAGCGCCGCGGTCATCGTTAAGTATGTGAACTTCATCAATGAGAAATAGCTTGATGAGTCTCATGAGTCGCTCGTGGTCTTTCCATTTCCTGGTCATGCTGTCCCACTTCTCAGGTGTTGTTATGATGATGTTGGCACTTTGAACATTGCGAAGGTCTGAACCGTCGCTGTCACCAGTGAGTTCGGCACATTTCAGACCGATCTGAGTGAACTTATTGTCCCAGTCTCGTTGTCGCTCAGAGCATAGGGCTTTGGTGGGGGCTTGATAAACAATTTTGTATTGACCAGTTGAGTTTGTCGCCACAGCCCTGCAGACAGCAAGTTCTAAGATTGCGGTTTTCCCGCTGCCTGTAGGTGATGACAGAACGAAGTTGTGATTCGATCTGAAGACTTGGTCGAAACATTTGGACTGGACGGCGTTAAACGTTGGGAAAGGAAACACTATTCGGAGGCGATCCGGCAGAGCGGAGACCGGTACAAGAGGAATGCCTTGTACAGTAGGAAGTGCGTGTGATGGCTTGATCAAGTTTGGATTGGATTCCACTTTGACGACTTGCTGAAACGGGCGGCCAACGTCCCGTCGTGGCGCTCTAAGGAACGCGTCATCCTTTTGATGATACTTAGTCCCCTCTCTGCGACCGGTGAATGCCTCAAGTGGTAGATCCTCGAAGGGCTCAAGCTCCAGTGGTTGCCGGAAAGCACTGGTCTTGTAATGTTCAGCTCGCCTTCGACCAGCGTTCAGGGTAGGGCTTGACGAAGCACCCAAAGACACGTCAGAAGTTGGCTCCAGAGGCTGGTAAGCGTCATATGCAAATTGACCTGTGAAGTTTAGAGTCAACAGTGTTTGCAATCCTGGGTACAACTTACTTAGTGATCTGCGAACAGTATTGCCACGACAGGCTTGCTGATCTGGGTCATATTAGAGAGTGCCCTCTTAGCTCAGAACAAACAGTACCTCTTTTATCGGGCGTCTTTTCGCATATATGTTGGTTTTGCGATTCTGGTCGTACCTTCTCGACCATCTCGCCACTGTAGGACCTGGGCATAGGGACCATGGACAGCCGCGCTTGACCTCGGATTGTTCGGTGCTGCCGATCTTGGTATGATTGATGAAGCATCTGATCATCTACAGGACGTCAAATCAGTGTAATCGGAAACTGCTGAATGCATACCGAAAGGTTGGAGACATTCAAGTTGTCCATGACTTTCGTCTTCTACCGCATCAGACATAGGATGATCATAGTGGGTGGCACGATAACGCTCTCTTGGCGCAAATGATCCTGATACATGCGTGAATTGTGGCTGAGATACGATGTACCGCGGTCCTACAGACTGTTGCTGGTGAAGTCTTTGTGTGGAGTGATAGTCTTCACCCATGGCGAGTGACCAATGATCGTTTCAAACCCGATGCCAGGCCACTACTAGCAACGGGACGAGATGAGCTCAATCAACAAAGTAGATGGGAGCTGCGGTAGATTGCGGGAACGATGTGAGTGTGCGGGGTCGAGACGGGAGGTGAAGCTGTGGAAAAGGAAGCCACGACCGCGCGCGCTCTACGCAAGTACCTAGGTATCTGCCCCGATAGAGCGCATCACATGCACACGCGTCTGATTCGCGTGACCATGATTAAAGATACGGAACTTGTTTGGTCTCGCATTCTTAAAGTGGCGATTGACCCGCATGCACCAATGGTCCGTACAAAACTGCCCGTCACCATGAATCGAGGCGTATGCGGCATCAAGACACGTCCGACCATCCATGTGGGAAAACGAGATCAACAGTCGTATCTGATCGAAGCGTATGCGTCTAAACGGAGTATTAAGTCGTATTTCTGCGGCTTGTTGGCTGCAATAGGAGGTAAGATCCTATTGCACTGCCAGATGACTAGTTAGACGTGCTTGGGTGCAGTATCTCACTGTGCGCTGGCGTGGTAGAGAGCATGGCCGGCCAGTTCCCTCATAGGTTTTCGACCTGCAGTCGCACCTTAAGGGACGGGTTTAGATCGGCTAAAAAGAAATACTGATGGCGACTGGCATAAGTCGGGCTCCATAACAGCCTCTAGGGAGCGCTCATCAGTTCATTCGCCACCGAATATCTAGATGTTGCCAAACCCGAAGTTACCACGAGCATTGGTAGGACTTTGATTGGCATCAGCTCAATCGTTTCCTCTCCACAGACGGTGTTGCCGATCTCGAAGTGCTATTGCCTCGTGCTCTTGCACCATCTTTCTCGTGCTCGATAGACGGAGGCCTGCGATCAACGGTCGTTTTCTCAAAGCTGGCAATCTTGACTTGCCCTGTACCTGGCTCAGGCTTTGTATACAAATACGTAGCGAATAGAACGACCAACGTGCCGACGAAGAACTGAGCAGGTATCAGTACTGATGAGTGTTTCAAGAAACTGGTGACTTACCGATCCAGTAACTTTGAAATCGAATAACGCGACGCTCACGGCGCAGCTGATGATGATGGAGATGCTAGTAGCAAAGTTCTTGGCAATGTTGTCTGCGTAGTTGATGACAAGCGCAACGATGACACCACCCATGGCCTGAAAAGTGATGGCTGCCCAGACGACCCAGTTGTACCCTACGAAGAACCCAGTTCTCGCGATGATCTCGCCATCTTTCCAGATAACCCCTAAGAACAGTGCCGGAAATAACGACCAGAACGATAGCTGACAGTTGCGCACCCAGAGCGATGTGTTCTTGCTTGTAGACTCTTTGAGTATCTTTTCAAACGAAACGCCAGCAATTCCCGAGAGTGCACATGCCACCAGGACCGCAGTCAAACCAACAGAGCTGTTCATCTCTGGAATGACCATGCCTCGATCTTCTTTTATGCCCTCATATGAACCAGATCGCCTCATGAAGTGTGCCGTAGCTTGGCTCCCAAGATCCCGTAGCTCTTCGAGCGATCGTGGCCAGACTTTAGAATCGGGATCGCGCAACGACTCCATCGTAGCAGGCTCAGAAGTATACTCTGGCAGTTGTACAATGGATACACCGATGACCAAAACAAGCAGAGACAACCACCTGCGAGGCGACAAGCTTCGGCCCAGCATAAGGACACTGAACATGGCCGTGGTCAAGATTTTTAACTGATATGTGACCTGGAACGTGGCTGCATCCAGATTGCTGACTGCTACATATTGCAGCGTATTTTGCAATGTATAAAGAAGCGCCGGTATTGCAAGCTTCCAGCTTTCGTTCGTGAACATGGCGGTCGTTAGGGCTTGGAAAAGAGTTGCGACGGTCGTGTTCGAGGGCAGAGTCTTTGACATGTCATAAAGAGCCTTGGCACTTTTGTCAGCGCATGCCATACAAATTAAGAGTCTATGGAAGAAGCATACCATCGTCAAGCTTACACCTAGCTTCAAGACTTCGTTGAGGAATACACTCGTACTCGTGTGATATCTCTGACCTCCAACGACGGGCATGACGCGCGAATAGTGCATTATCTAGTCGCACGTCAGTCGTCTTCCGTACCCTCGCATCCACGTCTATGCCGTGCGGTGTTGTCATCACTGAAGGCCGGTCAAGAGAGGTGTGATGCACATCGAATCGCGTTGACTGTGTGCCGAGGCACAAGGGTTGTCATACCAAAATGAGAGCCGAATTCTGAAACGTGAGCTACTCACACATCAGCATTCATTCCTGACATGTTGCGTTGTAGTACATACCGTGATGAGGGACAAATGCTTCATTGATAGGCCGGCCAGTGACCCAGACGATGATCTGCCGCCCATGATGCACCGGGTGTCAGACAGCAAAGGGTCTGTAATGCACGCGCGAAGCTCTCAAATTGTTGCAGGGTAGGAGTAAGGGCACGAGAAAGGAGTGCACGAGGTTAGATGCTGTGCTCGGAGCAGGGTATCCGCCTTGTCCGCCTAGCTGACGGCTCCTGTGCGTTAACCCCAGAAAAGCCCGATGCGCCAGTGGGGCGGCAGCCAGCGGTGACGCAGGGGAACAGCTTAGCGGCGATCAAGGGCATAGCCTATGCCCTGCGCAACAACCCACTCAGGTAATTCCTGAGCATCAATTTGTCTTGCTGAAGGGCTCAGCTCATGCCGCTGTAGAATACTCAGGCACAAGCTTCTGATATATAGCAATGATACTTCGACCATCTCTTCATTGGCACAATCGGATAATCTTTGTGCTTAATTTGCACATTCAAGGTCAGAGTTGAGTACACGGAAACTTCGAATCGTGTATTAGTCATACAAGGCTGAATCCTACAGACCAGAATGGAGATCAAACCGATGTCTCACGGTTTGTGAGCGTGCATAGGCACGTCACCATGAAGCTCGCTAGGCGGTGCCCCAGGCATCTCCTGAACATGAGCATATTTCACTGTCGACCCCAGTTCGGGCATTGCCGGGCTGTACGGAACCTCTGCCGGGCTGTACGGAACCTCAGCCGCATCTGGCGCTGCGTAAGGGGCCTTCTTCCTGCGCGAAGCCTTTCTCGCGAAGAACAATGCTGCTGCGATCAATGCCAGCCCTACGACGACGCCAACGACAATCCCTCCTATTGCTCCCCCACTTAGACCGTTTGATTTTGTACTAGTGCTGCCTGTATCTAGTGGTGCTGCGGATGCGGAAGTTGTCGAAGGCGTGGGCGTTGTTACTGATGATGACGATGACGTTGCAGGCGAACTTGAACTGATCACGCTCGACGAGACTTGACCCAGAACTTGTTCCAACAAGACAACCCCAGAGTTGGAATTACAGCAGCCCCGTGTATCACCACAGCACCATCGGGAGCTGGTTGCAGTGCCATCGCAAGGTGTGATTTTGGCAGTGAGCTTGACCGAGTCAGCATATCCACCATAGGCATGACTTGAAGACTGTACGTACCTCTAACGAAGCCGTCGGACAAACGTTCAGGCATTTCCCAGCACTGTCTGACTGCCCATTTTCTGTACAGTAGTCGATAAACTAACTCAACGTCAGCTGATGTTGTTGGTCGCCCACTGGATGGTGTAGGAGTACCCAGGTCGTCACCGGTTGTCCCTCGTTCGTCGTTAGTCGGTTCTGACACACCCCATTTGGCAGACATTCGTCGCGCGTGAATCCTAGCGATACGTTGCCCCATGGCTCATTATCACGATTCGTCGCGCAACAAATGGTCGTTGGTCCATCAGAGGCTGCGCATGGCTGGTAGATATTCCACTCCGGAACGTCTGGAAGTAAAGTGCCATTGCCAAAGCGACACTTGCCTTGGGCTGCAACAAGAGTAACAAGTGAGCCGATCGAAAGGTATTGATGTAGACGCATCGTGTAAGTGACAGACAGCCCCGAAGGAGCGACAGGAGTGTTGGAAACGGGGATCTAGCGAGAGAAAAGGAGCCAGAACTCAGGTGTTATGCCGCTGCACAATGTTGGAGCCTGACTTGGGGGCCGAAACTCACAGTACACAAAAGCCAGGCCGCCCGCACCTTATTGGTTGAAACGCACAACGTAAGGTTTAGCCGCCAGGGATCTCGATGTGCGTCAGACGGCATGAGCCGTGAGCGTAGCGATTCGATGAAGGCGATTGCAAACACCGTAAAAACTCGTTGCTTTCGCCTTAAGCTAGCAGGGGTGGGGGTGTACGGGCCCTCGGAGTAGACTCTAATGGACTTTGACAACTCAGGTAAGCTTCACTAGGCTTATACTAGAAAGCTTTTAACTTGGGACATCTCCTAAGACTTATCACTCGCTACTCGTTCACTCATGCGAGCCTCACAGATACGGTCATACAAGAGCAACGAAAGACAAGCCCCTTGAGCAGTAAGTACGATTGTGGTTACTCATCTAAAGTCTACTAAGGCATCGCTGGAGACCTATGCCGTTTCATGCGCTATCCTCTTCATCATCTCGTGGAAGATGCCCTGCCTCGTCCTTTCAAATTTTTCGAAAGCCATGTTGACAAAGCCAACGGGGATCTGATCATCGCCGTTGGTCAACTTGCCCCATGTCTCATCCACGAACTCCGCCAACGGTAGGCCGATACTGGCGCCATTCTTGATGTCCGGCTGGTTCTTCTCATCGTGTAATTCTGTCTGAACTGCTGGCGGAAAGATCTCTATGACTTTGATGTTACCGGGCCCGGCCTTCAGCTGTTCGCGAAGAACCAGGATCATATGATGGAGTGCAGCTTTAGAGGCGCAGTAGTTACCACACCTGGTCATGGGAATGAGCGCCAGGCCAGAGGTAGTGTAGATGAGACTCGTCTCGTTATCCTTCTTCTGCAGGAAGGGGACGAAAGCCATCGTCAGATGCATATATGAGAGGTAGTTTGTGCGGAACTCGAGCTCAAGAAGGTTCAGATCGACGGTTTCGGGCTTGGAGAAGTCGAAACCGCGTTGAATACCGGAGTTCAGGAAGATTGAGTCCAGGTCAGGGTGCTCCGTGGTGACGTCCTGGACGAATTTGGGGATCTTCTCGAGCTCTGTAATGTCAAAAGCCTTGGTCGAGACCTTGTCTTTGCCGTACTTGTTGGCAAACTCGTCAAGCTTCTCCTGTCTTCGTCCAACGATAACAACGGACTTGCCGTCCTGTACGATCTTCTCGGCCAGGGCCCAGCCAATGCCAGACGTGGCACCAAGAACGAGGACTTTGTGGTATTTGAGAGACATGGTTTGTATGCTTTGATTGTGATGGATGCTAGAAGTAAAGAGAAGGCGTGGTATATATGTACTTTGGTCAAGTATAGAGTATACCTATGGTACCCTACAAGGAACGCAGCTAGCGTCGGCCTTAGCGGTGTTTGTGGGAGAATTATGTCCAGAACCTCGCTCTTTCGCTCTTTCGCTCTTTCGCTCTTTCGCTCTTCAACAACCTCCAGGCCGAGACTGGGATCGTTGTGCATCCATTGTATATTTTTTGTTAGAGGACGACAAGCTAAAAGTTTATGTTCTATGGTTTTGAGCGTAAGATTCGCGTCAATCGTCACTGATTAATGTAAGCTTACGACAGGAGCGGATGCGTGCAGCACTTAGTTGCTGATCTATTCAAAGCACAACCAATCAGCAGCTGTATTACAACTAGATGATCTCACAAGCATGCCACACCATCGTCACCCATAAATCTTTCATGGTTACGCCTGAACTCACAGTGGAAGGCCAACGAAATTGTTGTAAGTGCAAGTGACAGAGAGAAGTGCAGGCCGACAGGTCGAAATAGCGCGATTGACAATCCGCTCGCGCTCGGTCGAGGATCGTCTTTAGGCCTCATTATTTCTCTTGTCGCGACCAACACCATCTCAACATCAAGAATTGTTTGACCAAATCGCGGAAGAATATGTTTTGTTATGGAGGTAGCTATAGGTACATCACCCCAGGCACCTCTTGGCATCTCGTACGATCCAACTCATGCTCATCATAGCCAATAAGCTGCAGGACAATAACTGCATAACTCCACTAGGAAAGAGTCCTGGCAAGACTGCAGATTCTCCTTGATGCTGCGGTTTGCCAAGAGGCTGGTCAGACGTGCTTGATTGCGGAAGGCATCAATGGTGTTTGCATTACGATAAGCACGCCCTCTCCAGGGTCGTCATGATGTTCAGGTCCTTTACGTGCAATCGCCACTTTGCTTCCCTATCGAGCCTAACAAAAACAGTAAGTACATATGTACGAAGTACCTGCATGTTGTGGAACTGACCAATAGAATTGTGAGATTCTGACCCCGGCAACAATCTCATTGGCAACAACCAGAACACTCAAAATATCTCGTCGCTGAATCATTGCAATGGACAATCGATATAAGAATGATTATATCGGCATGGAAGAGTGTCATATCACTCTATCATAACAGTTCGCTCAACTCACACTCCAAGACACAAGCAAAATCGCCATCCGCTATGATTTCCAACAACATTACGTCTGTACCTGCACTCCTTAAGCCTTTCGAATTCAGCTCCGGATTGGCTCTTCGAAATCGAATTTGTATGGGCTCGATGACCCGCAATCGCAATACAGACTCCAACAAACCCACCTCTGCGGCCGTTGAGTATTATTCCGATCGAGCACGGAATGGCGCCGGCTTGATCATTGCAGAAGGAACCTTCGTTTCTCCCACCGGCTCCGAGTGGCTTAATGCTCCATTGATGACTACACGCTCTCATGCTCAGGCCTGGCAGGCGGTCGTTGACGCAGTCCATCGTGAAAACGGGGCAATATTCTTCCAGCCCTGGCACGAAGGTCGCGCACAGAATGATCTTGCACCGATGATGAAAGAGACAGGTTATCCGGTCCTGGCCCCCTCATGTATTCAAGCTAAAGCAGGGAAATACCGGTTTCTGGACGGTGTACCAGGCCACACCGCCAACCTCACACCGATGACAAACGAACATATCAAAGAGGTGGTGGAGCAGTACAGGTACTCATGTGAATTGGCGAAGGAAGCCGGGTTCGATGGCGTAGAGATCATCGCGCAGGGCGGATACCTTATACACAATTTCCTGTGTACGCGTTCGAATGTCAGGACGGACACGTACGGCGGCAGCGCAGAGAATCGATGTCGCTTCCTGCTGGAGGTTGTCGATGCGATAGCAACAGTCTATCCAGCCTCACACATCGGCGTGAAGGTTGCGCCCTGCGACAATGTCGCTGATATCGCATGTTCGTACGCCGAACTGTCAGAAACCTATACTTGCCTCACCAAAGGATTAGTGGAGAGGGAAATAGGGTTCATCAACTTATCACGACGAGGGTGTGCGACGGGAGAACCGAATGACGACTTCTCGGACAGCACAGTCCGGCCTGACGGTATGGAGCTGCCCGAAGGATACGAGCCTTTGCAGGAGTTTGGACCGTTGGTCAAATTTCCGGCAAGTAAGACGAAGCTGATGGTCAACTATGGGTATACGGTGGAAGAAGCAGAGGAGCTGGTGAGGCAAGACAAAATCGATATGATCACGTTTGGCAGGCCATTCATCTGCAACCCGGTAAGTTCGGACTTGTTTTTGGTAGGAATGTATAGACTTACACTGCGACTAGGACCTCGTTGAGCGCATCAGGAAGAACGTTCCACTCGCAGAAAACGACAGGGGTGGACGAGTGAACTACGGGCCGTTCGGAGATGTAAACGAGAACTACAACGACTGGCCGGCGGCTGTGTAGCGGTGTGGCACTCTTGTAGAATCGAAATCGAATCCATCCTCGTCGCTGCCAATCGGCCGCAAAATCACTGCTGAATGACTCCATTTGAACGCATGCCTCACTCCATGTGAAAGAGCCCCATTACCTCTAGCCACCAATCCTTATGAACTGATGCTGCATTATGCCAAGCGGCTCATCGGATATGCTTCGGTGCAGTACACTTCGACGTCGGATAGATGATAGACATTTGAAACTATGGGAGTGGTGCTCAGAGCATTGCACGGCGGTGCGCACGCAAGTGGGTGCTGCGCCACATTCTAAATCGGTCGCGGCTCACGGCTGCCGACTCCTTAGAGGTCCCCACTTTGATGGATACCGCGGACGGACGATCGCTCACGAAGGTTTCGAACAACACAGCAACATTCGCAATACCACTCTGCTTAACTCTTGATAATCCGAGTATGTCCCAGCTATGTGCGTGGCTAGGTCCGCCCACCTACTAACATCATCGTAGCACTTCCCCGCATCACTCCACCATGAGCGCCTTCCAGAATGCCATGGTCAACCGGTCGCTAGGCGACATTAAGAACGTACGTCTCGCACGTACTGTCTACCTTACGCCATGTACTGAAGCGCTTCCTCCAGAATCTCCAGTTCCTTCTCGAATCCGAAGTCATCAGCAAAGCCCAGCACGATGCTATGCTGCAACAGCTTCCCGTCTCTGCCGAGAACTCGACGCGCGCTCTGCCCTCAGCACCGGCTCAGCAGGTCACAAACCAACTCTCGCAGATGAACCTCCAGCCCACGCCCTCGCATACCCCCACCCCTGTCTCGGAGAAGAAGCAGAACATCGGCTACTACGCTGAGAATGTCGCGCCACCCGCCTACCCGTCCACACCCGCCCTGCCCGCCGGCCCCACAATCCTCACACACGCCACCGCCATGTACCAGTACAATGCGCAAGATGCCGGCGATCTAGCGCTTGTGCCCAACGACAAAATCGCCGTCACAGAGTACATGAACGCTGAGTGGTGGAAGGGCAAGAACGAGCGCACCGGTCAGGAAGGCATCTTCCCCGCCTCCTATGTTCGCAAGGAGGAGAAGTCCATGGCTCCTCCAGCCAGCAACTACGGCAACATGCCTCTGGACGTCTCCAACGGCGCCGCTTCGCAGCAGCAGACGCCGGGCGAGCCGAGCAAGTTTGAGCAGGGCGGAAAGAAGTTTGGCAAGAAGCTCGGAAACGCCGCTATCTTTGGTGCAGGTGCGACTATTGGTGGCAAGATTGTTAACGGCATTTTCTGATCGCATGCAGGTGCGACTATCGGTGGCAACATCGTCAACTCCATTTTCTAAGCGGTTTTCCTGTTGCGCGCTTTATCATGTTCACTTCCGCTGTGTTCTGGAAGTCTGGCGTTTGGGTGGATCTTGGGTAGTGAGTGCTTTTCATTTCATGGTGATGACCTTATGATTCTGACGACTGTCAGATATCCCTTAATTTCAATCAGATCATGCTCCAAAATCCTGATGTCAAATCTTTATTTGCTCTGTGATCGCGCCTAGCTCAACAAGCCTCACCAATGAGCCTCGACTACTGTACCCAGTCACTTAATAGAACGCAGAATCAGGCATGAAGGATCGATCATGCTATGAGTCTCCTCCTGGTTAAAGGATGTGCGAACGGAGTTACCCTGCAGTAGTTCTGCGGCTTATTAGCTGCGATGCGAATGATTCGGATCCTACAAAGCTGCCAAGTGGTTGGACGGACGGTCCGTCTTTTGAACCCGCACGGAAGCGACTGCAGATGTTGTCATCACCGTTGTCGAAGTTTCTAAGGTCACAACCAGGAGCATGCCAACAAACTACCATTCAAAGACCACCTACGGGCAAACAACACTCGCTTTAGATACAACATGTTCTTTGCCCTTGCACTGTATAATGGTTTAGATTTCCCTCATCAACTCCAGCATGGTCCAGCGTGCTGCATGAACTGATAAGCGCCGTTGCTTCTGACGCATCGACCTCTATGGCATCCCACGCGCAAGGTATCAATACCACGTCGAACGGTTATCGCAAATTTCCAGACTCCCGCCATAACTATGCCACAGCGACCTCTTCTGCTCGCCCCTCTCATCATCGTGTGCGTACATACACTGCTCACGCCCTAGTCCTCTTCAACGTCTACGGTATTGTACTTTCGTCGGGGCTGTGGCTCGAGTATTACTTCACCAGCCTATTTCCAGCCACGTCTCTGCTGGCGGTTTCAGCGATCTTTGGCACCCAACTCGCATGTCTCGGTCTCGGAGTCGGAGTCGCAGCATCACTTCACCGTCGATGGCCGAAGCACTGGCGCTTGCTGATGTCCTTGGGTGGGTTGAGCGTGGGCTGCTCACACATTTGTGTCCTGATCGCTGACGAGTTTTGGGTTGTTCTCTTGTGTGAGGGCGCGCTCACGGGATTGGGCCTTGGTGTCTTGAGCACGGTATCCACACGGGTACTCAGCACGCACTACAAGAACGACATTGCCGTCGCTTCGTCACAGTGCGTGGCTGCAGGCTTCCTCGGCGCCGTGGTATACACAATATTCACTTGGCTCTGTCTTCGCTCGGACAACACGAAGCTCGGCCGTGGACTAATCCCCACCCTGCTCTGCCTCACTCTCCTGCCCGCGGTCCTCCTCGCCAAACCCAGCGCTCTACAGCCCGTAACCCATCACTCTTCACCACCCGCCCGCTTCGCGACACCCCGACTCTCATCTATGCTCTTCGTCATCCTCTACACCCCCCCTTTCCTCGCCACATCCCTCCTCCTCCCCCTCATTTTGACCCGCCACCCTAGCCCCTACCGTGCGGACCCCGGCTGCTACGTCCTCCTCGCACTCTCCAGTGCCGCACTTCTCTCCTCCGCTCTGCTTCCGCACCTACCTTCCCACCGCCTCTCTCCCCCAGCGCTCATCGCCGCCTCTACGCTCTTGGCTGGTATTGCCATCCCTTCACTTATCTGGATGCCGACCTTGTACGTTGGTGTACCATGTGCTATGGTGCTTGGGGCGGGGCTAGGAGGGGTGTGTGCCTTGTGGGTCCGGGCTTTGGCAGCGCTGGTTGGAAAGGGTAAACGCCTGGGCCAGGCGGTCTGCTTGCTTGCTGCTGTTGGTGGAGTGGGGGCTGGATGTGGAGTGTTGGGAGCTGCGGCGGTTATGGAAACGTGGGAGGCGGGTGTGGAAATAGTTTTGGGCGTTGCGGCCGGATGTCTGGTATTGGGAGGGTTGGCGCTGGGTGCAGGTGCTGGGGTGAGGCGGTGGGGTTGAAGAAAGGCTGGAGTATATAGCATTGTTACTGTAGCTGGAACCAAAGCTTGTATGATGGCTCGCGCCTTATTTTTATTTGTTGTATTCTAATGAGGTAAAGAGACCCAAGTACCACCTTGCGCGTTCCCTATTCGTCTCGTGCATTTTGGTATCAATTTTGGCCAGCTAAAGCTGGAACCCGAGGAAATCAGTCACGTAATATCGTGAACCCCAAACACCATCGCTATGCGCAATCAATACAAATATTACTTCCGCAAACCGGAGAAATCCTTCAGCACATGCGCCATGTGCGTATTCGTGACCCTGCCGTTCTTGCGCGGCGCACGCTTCTTCTTCGGCTTGGGCGTAGTATCGACAATCACGCGCGGTGCAGTAGCAACGTTCAAGCCAACGTTAATCAGGGTGTTGCGCATGTCATCAGGATTGGCCGGAATGGCGATCTTGTGCCAGTCACTGATGAACTGGATGTCCATACTATGCATGAGCGACGGATCATTATCCCACACTGTCTTGGGCACGCCGTCCTTTGTTTCCTTCAGCAGAATAAGCTTCTTCTGTGCCATAGGCTTGATTTCCTCCGCCACGTTCGGCCAGCCATCCTTCAGATCTTTGATGGACAACCCCTGCGCCGACTTTTGGGCCTGAAGATAGGCTTTGAGCTGAGATGGGTTGCGGATGGCCAGCTTGGGCTTGTAGTGGTATAACCCTGTACCGTGGTCGAAGCCGATCCGGTTGTCCTTCGATGGCGAGTGGAAGAGTTGACGCAGCTGCTTCCAGTTCGGCTGTTCCTCCCTGACGTTCAGATATTTCATGATCTCTTCGAATGTCAACTGCTTCAGGCCGTCTTTTAGGTGATCGCGCGCAAAACCGAACTGCGTGTAGACGTGATCACCAGTGCCTGTGTCCGCCGGCTGCGAATAGACGACATTTGAGGCCTCTGCGGGGCGCTTGCGCTTCGCACCATTGGCGGACGAGTTCGACGGGGTGGGCGACGGCGCGGCGACATTGAGGAACGACATGGTGACAGCAGGTAAATTCAATGCTGGTGGAAGCGTGTGCCGCCAGGTGAGAGTGGCTGAGGGCGGCTGTGTCCTTGTTGTGCAGCGTCTAGTGAAAGGGTCGCACGGTGGTAAAGGACAGGGGCGGTGTGTCGATAGGGTCGAAGTGCGTCGAAACGGCGTGAACAAAGGCAGCGAAGTAAAGGCAGCGCAGTTGAGGCAGCACTGGCGGCGATGATGCGTAGCGGCCCGTGCGGCGCTAGCGCGACAGCGTCAAACAAACGGAGCTCTGCGCGACGCTCGAAGCTCCCACCAACGCGACTTCATTGTCTGCGCCGCCTTGTCGACTCTCCTTTGTCCCTGGTTTGCGCGCCTCCAACACTTTCGACAATGTGCTGAGGTAACGATCATCCATCACTTACTCACCATGGCGGCAGTAGTAGACGCCGGCTATCTGGCCGCGTCGTACGCAGTGCCGGAAACGACATTACAATCACTACTTTCCGAACCCACCGCCGAGCTTGTACAGGCACTGCTCGTGCAGATCGAGGCGAAAGCACGCGAACACGATGACCTCAAGTCCGAGAAGATCAAGGCCGATGTCGAGCTCGAGGCCGCCGTGCAGGGCGCAGACGCGCGCGCGCGCACGCTGAAGGCCGCTGCGGACAAGGCGCAGAAGGAAACTGAGCAGCTGCAGCAGAAATTGGCGCGAGAAGGTGCGCACAGAAACATGGCCCTGCGAGGAAGGTATGCTGTACTAACATGACCGCAGAACTTGCCCGCCAGCAAGTCGAGAAGGAACTACACGACCTCAAGAACTCGTCAACTAGCTCAACCTCCGAGGTGCAGGCACTGCAGTCACGCATCAAAATCCTCGAGTCTCAGAACCGCGACACGCTAGCCATGCACGAGGCCAAGGGTGTCGCCCACGATCGACTTGCCAAAGAACTCTCGGAGCAACACCAAAAGTTCGTTGACTTGCGCAAGCAGCTCTCCGCGCTCGAAGAGCAGAAGCAGCAGCTCCAGAACGCCGCGGCTAACGTCAAGTTCCGCGAGACCAACTTCCAGCAAGAGATTGATCTTCTTCGCAAGAACAATGAGTGGTTCGAGGGTGAGCTGAAGACGCGTTCTGACGACCAGACGAAATATCGCAAGGAGAAGAATGCCCAGGTGGCCGAGCTACAGCGTGCTAACGCAGACGCATCCGAGTCAATCGACGTACTTCGCCGAACCGAAACGACACTGCGACAACAGATTGAGAAGCTCGAGCAAAAGGCTGACGAGTCTCGTATACGCATTGAGCAGTTGGAGGACGAAGCAACACAGAACCAGGCCTCCTTCCGCAACGAGCTTGACAGTGCACGCCGACTGGCAACACTTCACCAGGAGAGCGCCGAGCTTGTCAAGGGCCGTCTGCAGCAGCTTCAAGCTGAGTTGACGCAGATGAATGACAACGCTGCCCTCGAGATCGGCCAGCTCCAGGCCGAAGTCGAATCGGAGCGTAATAAGGGTGTAGAGGCCGAAGGTCGTATTGCAGAACTGGAGTCTGGACAAGAGAACCTGCTTGCTCAAATTTCGGAGCTGGAGAATGCTGCTCGGATGCCTGCAACGCCTCGACGCCCGATGAACGGTGCCTTCGAAACCCCCGGCCGCGCTGGATCACCCGCGGTCTTCTCGCCAGGCGGTTCGCGTTTGAAGGGCAGCATGTCCATAACTCAACTATACTCGGAGAACATGCAGTTGAAGTCTGAGATCCGCACGTTACGCGAGAGGAGTGAAGAGAAGGATTCGACCTTGGCTGAGATGCTTGAGTCGCTTGAGCACGCACAGCCTGAGATCGAGGAACTCCGTCGCGAGAACGAGATGCTTACGAACCAAACAACCGAGATCAGCGCTCTCTTGGACGAGGCAACAGGAGATAGAGAGGCTGCTCGTAAGGACGCTCGCAAGGCCCTGGGTGATCTGGAAGGCACCTACCGTGAATGCGCGACTCTTCGGCAGCAACTCCAGGACACCGTCACACAAATGCAATTCCTGCTCTGGCGTCAAGAAGCAGAGCAGAGAGGACTGGAATCTCTCAGCCCAGAACAACAGGAGCGCGTCAGGCATGCGGCACAGCACAACAACGAGATGCCGGACAGCCAAATCGACGAATCCACTGCCACCGGCGCTCTTATTGCTAAGCACCTTCTTCTGTTCACCGATGTTCAATCCTGCTCGCAGAAAAATCAAGAACTCTTGGCAGCTATTCGATCAGTCGCCGAATCTCATGAGGGTCAAGAAGCTCGTGATAAGGCTGCGCAGCACGAAAAGGACGAGAATGAGCTCAGGATACTGCGAGGACGTCTGTCCGAACAGGAAGAACAGATTCAATCACTTGATCTGAAGTTGAAGAGTGTCACAAAGGAACGTGAGATGTACCGCCGCATAACGACCAGCCGAGGACACCAATTCAATGCTGATGGAACAACTGACTTTGGACAATCGTTCGACAGTCGAGCGGCATTTGCAACACCACCTCCCGGAGGTTCGATGCACATGGACCAAACACCTCATTCTAGAGAGGTTGCGGGCTACGAAAAGCTGATCAAGGACCTTCAGTCTCACCTCGATCTATTGCGGGAAGAGAATGCCACAGACCGCGCTACCCTTAAGCAGCAGGTCGATAGTCTCACCAAAGAGAGCAACCAACTCCAAAGCGACAAGCTACGACTCGATAATCAGGTCCGACGCGAACAGGACCGCTACACTCACCTCGAGGGCAACATGAAGTTACTTCAATCCGAGAAGACTACTTTGCAGGAGCGCTACAGCGCACTTCAAGATGCTCTTGCTAAGCAAGACGAAAAGCTGGACAGGGCGCAACAAGAGGCATTGGATGCTGCAGCGCGAGCTGAGGGTCTTGACCGTGAGATCGTCAACCTAAAGGCATCACAAACTATGTGGAAGACTATCGAGGCACGCCTCACTGAACGCAACAAGGAGCTTACGGACGAGCGTGACCGTCTCAGCAAGATGGTTACTGATGTGCAGAGTCTTCGCAATGAACAGGAGCTGTCCAACGCGGAGAATCGTCGCCGCCTCCAGGATCGTGTCGATGCTCTCGAAGCAGAGTTGAGCGTAACACAACGCAAGTTGGAAGATGAGGCTGCCGAGCACAAGAGGACAACACAGCAACGCGATTATGAGCGCACTGATGCTCAGCGTCGCATTGATGACTTCATCAAGGCTAAAAATGAGGCTGACGTCAAGTTTGCTTCGGCCAATACTGCTCGCCAACAGCTTGAACAACGTGTGGCTGAACTTCAGACTCAACTTCAATCCGCTGAAGAGCGAGTGCAGTCTCTTCGACCTCGCCAGGCCAATGGTGCTGACGATGGCAACGGGGAGCCAGCGAATCGCGAAGAGGAGCTGGAGACGCAGGTTTCAGAGCTGCAGCGTAAGATCGAGCGCAAACAGGAGGATCTGGAAGTTGCGAATGGTCAAATCGAGACGTTCCAGGCGATCGCTCAAGAGGCTGAGGACCAGCTTCGCAGTCATCTGGAGACCCACGAGCAGTACGAGCAAGAAATGAACGCTGTGCAGCAAGAGAAAGATGCAACCATCGCCGATCTACGGCAACGCGTTGAAGAGATCTCTTCTGAGCTTGCAACATCCAACACGGAACTGACTGAGCTCCGCGGTCAGCACGAGCAAGAGACCTTGCGTCTCACGCAGCAAAAGGATGCCTTGGAGACCGAGATCGCCCGTTTGAAGGGTGATGTTACTGACTACAAGGCTGAGATGGAGAACCAGTCGCAGCTGGTAGCATCGCAGGCAGAGATTGCGACTCGTGCTCAGCAAGACTACGAGCACGAGCTCGCGAAGCATGGAGAGACTATGAAGAGCCTCCGCATCCTTCGCGACGAGCATAATCAACTAAAGACTGAAATCGCGCAGTTCAAGGCGCAGGCAGAAGCTGCGCAAGCTGCATTGGCCCAAAACGATGAGCACTGGACAACAACGCGTGAGCAGTTCGAGAGCCAAATCGCTGAGGCCCAGAGGAGCTACGATGAAGCAAAGCAGCACAACAAAACATTGCTCCGCCAATTCGACGACTACAAGGCGCAGATCGAGGCTTTGAAGAGCAACCGAGCCTTGGCCGCTGGCGATGCGGATAACTCATCATCAGACTCGAGTGGTCTCCAAGAGATCAACGACTATCTTCGACGCGAGAAGGAGATACTGGAGGTGCAGCTGAACCTGAAGGATCAGGAAGTCAAGCGACAAGAGCAACAGCTTAACCATACTCAATCCCAGCTTGATCAGGCACGTGAGAAGCTCATCGCCGAGCAATCCAAGTCTCAGCAGGGTGGTAGCAATTTGCAAAATCTACAGACCCAGATCGAACAGCTCAATGTCTACCGAGAGAGCACCACGACTTTACGCAGCGAGAACCGTCGCCTTGAAGCACAGCTCGCAGAGAAAAACATTGAAATGGAATCTCTGCACAGCCAGCTTGAGCCTTTGCAGGTACGCATTGCGGAGTTTGAGGGCGAAATGGAATTGCAGCAGGGACATCTGAAAGCTGTCGAAGAAGACCGTGATCGTTGGCAGAAGCGACATCAGGACGTGCTTCAGCGATATGACCGTATCGATCCGAAAGAATTGGAAGACCTCAAGCAGCAACTCGAAAGCCTGCAATCGGAACGTGATCAGGCTGTTGAGCAGGTCACTGGGCTCAATGAACAGATTAGCAGTCTGAATGCAGGAGTCACTGCTACTGATGAAGCTGTGAATACTGCAGTCCGAGCAGCGAGACAGGACGCAAAGGAACGTTTCAACAAGATCCACATAGAGAAGATGACCGCCGTGCGAGCGGAAATCACAGCTGCCAAGGCAGAGATTGGGGAGCTACAGGAGCAGCTCGCTTCAGTCCAGCAAGAGTTGGACGTTGCTCGTCAACAGGCCGCTTCCACTGAGTCTGCAAGCACTCAGTCGCAGGAGCATTTGACAACAGTTCAACAACAACTGGATGAACTGAAAAATCAGCTCGCTGTAGCTCAACAAGAACTCGAGAGCACAAAGACAGCTCGTGACGAGGCTGTTGCTCGCGCAGAGGCCAGCAGCAGTGCCCATGCAGATACCTCCATGGGTGAAGAGGGACAGGTCGATGAGAACACCTCCCAGCCTCTTCAGCAGGAAGTTG